CTTCCATTTTCATTGAAATTATGCTAAGTGGAAAAAAGACTTTCTGTGCTTTTGTGCAGTCTTGTAGTTTCACAAGTCTCTTCATAGCACATTTCCCATTTTTTCCATTTTACAGGTACACTATCTATGTACATGAAATCTGTATCATCCATTCCAGGGGGTATTGCAAGATTCATCCAGGGTTTATAACGAACTTCAACATGTTAAGGCCCCCCAGGAGTGCTGGGCTGGCTTTCCATTAAACAAAATTGTTCTATTCCCCTTTTTCTAAATATTTAGAGTAGTACTCATTAGCTTCTGATAATTGTTCATGTCAGTACTGTTCTATGAGCTGTCTTCTGAACCTCTCTGTGAGGATTTCCAGTTTAACTAGGAAACAAACCATTGCCAGAAAAAACATTTGCAACACACATAAAAAAACCAGGCAATTTTCCTCATATTGTCTAGCAAAAATGCCCACCATAGCAATAATAAACAAAGTAGGCACACACATAAAGCAAACACATACCACAGCAAGCCAGACAAAACATTTAGAAGACCATATGTTCTTTTGTATTGGTTATAGCCATCCTGTGTATTCTTTGCTACCCCTAGCTTTTTTTTCTGAAGGCCATTTCCTAAATATATGTTGCACATATACACATGAATCAAGAAAAACAAGGTAGAGTATTAGCATCAGAGGAACTATCCAAGTGCTCTATAAGCTCTTTATCTTTCTGATTTTCAGAAATGTAATGTCAGCTTGAATTTTTTAAATTGACACATAAGAGAATTGGTTGATATATAACAGTGGTGGCAAACCTATGACATGCATGCCAGAGGTGGCACTCAGAGCCCTTTCTGTGGGCACGCGCGCCATGCCCAGGAAATGGCAACTGTTCCTCTTCAACCAGCCGCCTGCTAACTCGTCGAGGTCCCATGTGGCCAGATGCATCCCAGCATGGCTGGTTTCCCTCTCCTCCGTCCCATCCCTCCTCCCTTCGTATGCTCTCCTTTACCCGGGCATGACCCACTGCTCAGTTGTCAGCTATCTGTCCAGCTCAGAGGAGGCTTCTCTGAACTGCTGGTGGTGGGCTGCAGAGCCCCAGAGTGCACCGGTTGAGGGTCAGCAGGCTGTGGCTGCTGATGGACACTGTCAGCCACCGTGCGCTCGCTGGCCTCTGTGTGCGGGAGCCGATGGTGTCAGGCAGCAGCCGCCCTGGCCCCTGCCTCATCTTGCCCTGCGACAATAGCATCCCCACCCTGCCTTGCCTTGCCTTGCCTTGCCTCACCCCGCAGGACAAGCCTCCTGCTCACCGCCCCACCTGCCAGAGACCCCCCAGATGTCACCAACCTGCCCAGCCCCCACAGGCGTCCCTCCCCACGAGCAACATCGACGTGACCACGCTTACCTTGGCCATACCCACCCAATCTGCCATGACCACCACAGCCATGCCCACCCAGTGGGCCATGCCCATCTGGCACCTGGCGATAAATAATTGGGTTTTGGGTTGCAGTTTCGGCACTCGGTCTCTAAAGGTTCTCCATCACTGATATATAACATATGATATGTTTATTACAGTGCTCTGCTATCACTCTGTAATTTCCTGCCATTGACAATGCATATTTAATGAGCTGTATTGTACAACACATAGGACAAAAAATAAGGAATATTATTCTGAAAAAATCACTTGCAAGCAAATTGTGATAAGGTTTTGTGTAGCAAACAGAGACAAGACTTGCGCTATGTCATCCTTGTTTTTACAAATATCTGAAAGCCCTTTAACTCACTGAATTGAGATGATACACAACATTTAGAATCAGCAGGATAGCCTTCAGAATCCTGTAAATGAGCTATAAATAGGTAAATAGGTAAAATAGGATTGCGTCTAAAGATACTAAAATCAAAGTGTTAATTGCAGTGCTTATATATTTTTTTCTGCCTACATTTCATATTTTCATATTTTGAGTTGCCAATTAAAGTATTTGTTTTAAAAGTGTGAAGTACTTTTGGTATATCTTTCAGCAAGATCAGAAGACTGAAAATTTAATCATCTTTTAAACACCAGTTAGTATTTATAATTGATAATAATATGCTTCAGTGCTATGTGACAGTTTCTTTTAAATGTTTAAGCTCTTGTGTAAACGATAGAAAAAAGTGAAATGCACTTGAAATGATAATGCATAAGGAAAACTAAAATTTCTATGTATGACTTTGAAAAAAAAGTCTGATATCAGAATGTAAAGCAAACAAATACATCATGTATGTCTGAAAGAACTGAAATAATTCTACTGAAGAGATGAAGGTAGCAATATTGATTTGAGATACGAATTGTTTGTAGAAGGATAGTTCCAGAATGTTCTATCTTCTGTGAAAGGAGACAAATAAAAGCATTTTTGAAATACGGTAGCTGGTCAGCCATAGTCTTAATACAGTCAACTTCTTTTCTGCTTTCTCCTTGCTTTTCTCTTCCACTTTCTTGAATTCTAAGTTATTTTACCAGTATATAAAATAAGATTAGTTGGTGCTATTGCTTCTATACATGTCTATTCAGAAGTAAGATTTCAGTAGAATTTTCTATCAGGTAAATTTTTATAGGCTTCCATGTAAATAAACACTACATCCATAAAAATATTTTATTGCCCCTTTGATATGCAGTAAAAATCTTCCTTAGAAGTATGTTAATTTATAATACATATTTATAATAAATTTAATTGATTATTATCAATTAATAAATATAATAAATTTAATTGATTATTATCCTATCTTCTGAAAGAGCAACATTTCAAAATTAATGAATGATTATGGTTCTTACTAGTGCCTGTCTGAAACAAAACAAATTAATGTTATTGTTTTAGCATATTTACTTGTAATAAGCTTACATGCTGAGACCAGCTACTGTGCTTGTGTCCAGTTAGATGCATTTTCTTCCATACAATTCTCAGTTTTCCTTATGAGAAAAAAGTAGGACTTTTTTTTCATTGAGTCTTAAGATATTTTAAAGTACTTATTATTTAAAAGATGCATATGACTATCCATCTTAAGCAACATCTTATAACAGCTTATAACAGCTTATAACAGCTTATAACAATTATAAAAGCAATAAATAAAGCAATCACAAAAATAATTAAACAATAGGCCCAAACCCTGCACTTAATTGGGGTTGCTTTGGTCTTGACAGAGTTTAAAAAGTAATTTTTTCACATTGCTAAATTTCATGGGTTACAATATGAATGTAAAGTTGCTTATTTTATTTACAGGCCACCCAAATCCAATGGACTTTGGGCAGTGTATAAAAATATAAAACAAAACATAAACACAGCTAAAAACATTGAATCAGATGGACAGCTCCAACTAAAATGATGTAATAAACAGCAAAATCTACAAAATAGGGACCTTAGACCAGAGGTCCCCAACCTTTTGGGCACCAAGGACTGGTTCCATGGAGAAAGGTTTATCCACAGACTAGAAAGTTCATGGTTTTGTGTGCTGCCTGCATCCCACAGATGGGGCTTTGCTTGTTTGTGCGGACCGGTTGCTGGCATGCCACGGCCCAGTACCGGTCTACGCACCGGGGATTGGGGACCTCTGCCTTAGACAAATAATAAACATACTCCCCAGATTGGAACCAAAGTCAGGTTTTTAAGCTTTCCAGACTACTAGAAAAGGTGCCACCCTTATTTCTGAGGGAATGCTGTTCCAGAGGGCGGGGCCAGAAGACATGCTTCCTGGGTCCCACAAGGTGATATTTAATGGAGGGGAGCTGGAGCACACTCATTTTGCTGGAACGTACTGGCCAGGCAGAAACAATTGGAGATAAGCAGTTTTTCAGATATCATTTAAAAGATTAAACATGCAGATATTACTAAGGTTACTTATTTGAATATACTAGAAACCAAGCATTACAATAAAATTAATAAATAATTGAATAATGATCATCACTTTTCTATCATTATTGATTGTAGAATTGGTGCTGGAAATGTATTAACACTCTACATATAACACTCTGCTAGCCTTTATTTAGAGAAATAGCATTGGAAAACCATAAATCTCCAGATGTGTCTAAAAACAGTGCAATAATTTGATAAGTAAAATATTGAAGAAATTATTGTTTTGTAATAAAAGCAAGTTCTTGAATGGTACTCTATTTTCATTTAGATGTTCATAAATGAAAAAAAGTATAGCTTTGACATACTACATTTGTTTTACAATCGTTTATTATATTCCTGGAGCCCATCAAATTGCTTCTGGAAGTATATTATTGATACTATAGGGAATTTATAAATTTGCATCTTGGTGAACCATCAGCTCACTTTCCAATGTTTTTAGTATCTTCAGTACATTGATCTGAAATTTTGTGCTGCAAATGATAGAAATCAAACCATTATAAAACAAATTCTGGAACAAATGCTCAGTCATTTGTTAAAATAAACATTTCTGTGCAAGAGAGAATGTTCTGATCTTTCCAAGCCTGAGAATTATGATGCAACATTAGCTTTTATTAATATATTTCTCACTTTGGAGTGATTGACTGTTCTATCTGAATTGAACCATTTTGAACAATAGCTGTACATCTTGAATAAATGTTTGAAAGTGGTAATAGTGCATGAGCCATATTTTTTAAGCAGAACATTTTAAGACATCATGCTTAATTTATAACCTGCCAATTAAGTAGGATTATATTGTGGTTTTGAAATAAGGAAGTCTTATATTTTCCTAGCCACAATTCTTAATTAGTTTGCTAAGAGGTAACTTCTTAAATGTTAATGTATACTTTTTGGTATTAAGCATTGGATTTAGGTATAGAGCAATATTTTAGAAAATATAAATAATGATTTTTACAGTTGTACTATAGTCTTCTTTGAAAAGAGGTAGGGTGCTATCACTTAAAGTGTTTAAAGCTATTTGAAAGAGTTGAACTTGTGAAAGTAATAGCTAGTAGATTTAGACTTTTTTAAAAAGGTAACATTGACATATAAAAGAATGTAACTGTTGTGTACTATCTCTCTTCCTACCCCAGCCCAGTGTGCTAATTGTAAGCTACAAAGAAACACTAAAAGCTGTGTCGCAGTTTGGACATTATGACCAAGCTGAATGGAAGCCTGACAGTACCATGATAGCTGTTTCGGTAAGTAAAGAATCTTGTATAGAGCTATAAGTCTAATAGAGAGACATTTCACATAACTTTTTATTGAAAAATATAAAATTAATTTAAAAGTAAATTTAAAATATAGATGGAGTTGGTATCTAAATTTCTGTCTTTTTTTTTTTTTGCTTAGAGCAATCATGATCTGAGAGTCAGGGGCCATCTCTTTAAGCTGTCATCAGTTAGGGCTGTTCCACAAGACTATTGCAGAGTCCCTTGGGTACTCTTTTTTGTCTTTCCTCCAAATACGTTGGATAAAGAATTCAGTGTTCTATATTCTTATGATTCCAGCAACAACCTGTCTGAATACAAGGTTGAGGTTGTATTATGCTTCATAAAACCATCATTCTTCATAAAGACATACATTCTGAATTTTTAGTATCTCATTCAAATGTATATTCACACCTTTACATTGCATTAATCTTTATAATATATTAAATACAAATACAGCAATATAGGACATCTTCTTAGAGGTGAAACATGCTTACTTCATTTTCTGATAAGATTTCAAACTCTTATTTTCATTGTTTGATATATTCCTGTAATTTGTCAATGCGATCTTGAGGTTCTCTGAATGAGGGACAGGGAGGTTGTGAGGCCTTTGGTTACTTGCTTGATTGGCTAATTTTATTTAACATCATAGTTGGCCATTAGCTGTTTTTTTACTCATTACATTCCAAAGCACTATTTTAAGGCAGTTTTTGTATATATTTGTGGCAAAGTTGTGAAAACATTTAATTTTTTTTAAATGGCTTTATAATTTCATATGGTTGTTATTCAAGAAATCTAATAAAGTAGATTTTTGAAATACAGGTAATCATAATTGTTACCCATTATCTCTCCATGTATCATAAAAGGTGTTTTTAATGTCCAGTCAATAAAAATAAAACCATATTGATAAACTAATTTGCTTTGACCATTTTTATACTTGAATGTGAATTTAAATGTGAATGTTGATTGAATTGGTATTCTATGCTTTATTATAATATGTTTTCAAATAATAATTAAGGAAAATAATTGTCTTTATTTTCAAGTTTTAAATTATTAAAGTGCCAAATCCTGACTGTTGTTTGATTATATTGCTAGTGATCATCTCTTGCTACTAATTTTTCAAAATCTCAACAGATTTTCCAAGTAGCAAATTTTGTTATCCAATATGGCAAATTCTGTTTTAAAAAAGTTCTCTATTTTTATTTAATTGTTTGGTGGTTTGTATTAGAAGTAATATGTAATTTTTATTCTTTAGCATAAAATAGTAAGAGTGGTGGTTTTGCCACATCAAAATACATTTTTGAGGTAATACATTCAGTATTCCAGTTAACATTAACATACTTAAAAATGAATAAAAACAGTAATGAATCTGGCATGGTAAAGGGGTATAATGTTGTGAGCTTGTGCATATAGTTTGAAAAACTAATGGTACTTGACAAGATTGTCGTTAACCAATCTAGTATCCAAGCAGTTTGTGTCAGTGATTAAAATTAATTGGTTTGATTACGTTATAGGCAAAGAGAAGCAAGATCCTGTGCTGAAACACAACATAACTATAATATGTTTTCTGTATCAAGAATTTTAGTATTGGAGCAATCAATTATTATTTGCATTATCTTGAAATTTCAATGATACACAAATATGAAGGGGAGGCATAGGTTTATTGTTTGACCAAGCGAAATTAGTATCTGGAAGTTTCAACACAGTGTAACATATAGCTTGAACCTTGCTCAGAAAAAAATGACTTGACATTAAAGGTAGTCTGAAGAATCAGATGTTCCAAGCACATACAGCACTGCTTTCCTTTGGATTTGTAGCCAAAGTAATATTACGTAATATCAATAACATAAATAATACCACATTTTTAATTCTAATCCCATAATATTTATTAGTAAAAGAATAGGGGAGAAATAAAATCATTTCTCATTTCTGCATTTCATTTCAAAATGAAGAAGTACAAATTTATAACCGTTCATAACTTGATTCCCTTCCATCAAGTCTGCAGTTAATCCATGTGATTTCTTGGTGGAAAAAAGAAGCCAGGTAACAGGCATAAGGCCTGGCTTCATCCAAAATAGCTTTTTGAAATATTTTATAAGATTGATATCCTAAACCTCATGAGACTTTGGTATTTTATCCATGATAGCCTGGATCTTTTACTGGCAAGACTAGGTTTGGGTTGCTTAAAAAACTTGGCATCATTCTTCTGAGCTGTTGTAGCTTTCAATAATGATAATTGCTATTGTTTGGAGGAACCTACGTATATCTAAATCTGTTTACTTATACAAATTTCAATGGAAGCTAGTGATAGCTTCTTAAAATTAGAGAACTGAATATAAAATAAGAACAAGTTGGAATAATAATTGTTACAGAAAAATGTAGGTTAAATATGACTATGCCAGCCTTCTTCATATCAGCATATACAGAACTGAGTCTTGTAACATTATCAACTTGTATGGCAAATGGAACTCAAGAATGTGCATCTATGCTGATGTCAGGATGATACTTCTACAAAGTGTCATTTTACACTTTCTTGTAGCATAACACAGCAAATGAATAAATTATTTAAAAACAGATAATGGTAAAGAATGTAAGATTAAATAGACAGTGCTATCTTGTTCCTTTTGTTTCTTTCAAACACTGAATTTAATTAGAACATAATCTGGAAATTGTAATATACGTAGATATAGGAACACATCTGTGGATAAATCTTTGGATTTAAAATAGTTTTGCTTTAAAAATTAAAGAAAAAAATATCACTAGATGAAACAGCTGTGAAAATATGCTTTCCTTCTCCATCATATTCTTAACTGAAAAACAGGAAACCATGCTTGGAAAGAAACCCGAAACCTTTATTTTTTTTCTCCTTATGTCTTTGAGAAATATATTTTAAAAATTAAATTGTTTAAAAGAAAGAATTTGGTTAACATTCTTTTAAGTGTTTGCTTTTGATTTAGAGTCCGTTTTAGTTTAATTTTGGGAAAAATGTGTATTAATGTTGTGGGCAGTTATCCATCTAATGGGGAGGTTAGGATTAAATGAATAAAACAATATATTGAAACTAAAGAATAAAAATTCAAAAATCAGGTGTTTAAGCTAATATTGTGCTCTTGCTCTCTCTCTCTCTCTCTCTCTCTCTCTCTCTCAATATAAAGTCTTCTGCCTTTTAAGTACCTTTCTGTCTTCTTAAGGTTTTCTTAAACTTTTTTTCTGCCATTAATTTGGCTGAAATATAGAACTTCAATATGTCATGAACAAAAAGTATCCTCTGAGTAAAAATAAAGTACAGATAATGTTGCTTATCAAGTTTGTTTACTCTAGAAATATGTATTGGGGTAACTTGGAAGACTAGACTGTATGGTCTGATACATTTTTTTTTATTTTCATAAATGTGAGATACAGTTCAGGGAGAACAGAGCGCTGTTTCTTACTTCATGAATAAAATATGACTGCTTTGTAAGCCGAGGACTACCTTTTTATTTTTTCCCTTGAACACAATATTCATGTTTTAAATAATATGGAGTTTAAATTACTAACAGCTCTATTTATGTGAAAAAAATTAAATCCATTTTTTAATTTTGGCTATCTTATCTTTCAGACTGCAAATGGATACATATTATTTTTCAATCTTCTTTCTGCAAGAGACAAATACTTGTATGAGCCAGTGTATCCCAAGTAAGTTTTACTATAAATCCTTTATTTGTTCCACTATACAGGGCTACGTAAACAAATTTCACAGAAATAAACACCACAGAAACATATTTCTAGTTACAATAGGAATTTTCCTTTATTTTCTTTCCCTTCCCCAAATCTGTTTTGGTACTTTAACATTTTGCTGAAAATATTATTTTTGGATTAGAAAATATTCATAAGGGAAAATATGGGGAAAGAAAAACAAATTTACTTTTTGTATGACATAAAAATGTGGCTATATTAGTAATGTATACAGTATATTTGTCAATTCTTTTGTACTTTTTACTCCATAATATGAAATTTTAAAATTCTGTTTTAATAGCAGAAACTTGAAAATTCTATTTAATAAATGTAAATAAGAAAAAATACATATCTGGATCAGTTGTCTAGAGAAAGGATGGGCAGATTTCAGGCATATTCAGGAGTTGGCAGTGATTTAGAAGTGATTTGTTAGTTCAATATACTGACTATTGTTTGTTATTGGCAGTGATTTGTTATTCAGTGTATTCAGAAATGTTATCAAATTAACCAACATCTAGTAACCTCAACAATTGTTATGTTAACCCTTTGAACTGAGAAATATTAAAGTGAACAGAACACAGCAATGCTTCTTCAAAACAGCTGTATTATTTCTTCAAAAAAAATGATAACAAATAACAATGCCAATAAGTTGGATGTTCTCAAACTTTGCAGTGCCATGAAAAAAAAATTCACATAGGATTGACTTTTGACATAAAGGCAGGAATTTGTCCTAAATAATACAGTTTAACTAAAAATAAATGAGAGCCTTTGGAAAATGAAGTGCTTTGGGAAAGTGAGATTTGACAGAAAAAAATGTTCCATATAAAAAATTTCCTTTCAGCTGGATAGCATTTTTTAATAATGAAAGAAAACCTGGTTGCCAATTGTTTTCTTCAAATAACTGAAGGCATAAGGAGACTATTCCTATTGAGTAAGAATTGTGAAAATAAAAATGATTAGAAATAAGTTTTTTTCTTTTTAACTCCCACTCCATTTTTAAATCTTTATTAATATATGCTGAGGTGGGGAACTATGGCCCTTTTATAACTTGCGGACTTCAACTCCCAGCCTGGTTGGCTCAGGAATTCTGGGAGTTGAAATCCACAAGTCATAAAAGGGCTATAGTTCCCCCCCCCCACTTTAAAGGTCTAATAGTTAAGCTCAGCTAAAATTCTAAATTCACTAGTCACACATCTGCTTAGAACTGGTGATGTGATACAGTTTTCTATCTAGAATCCTTATGACTTGAATAGGTATGCATTATGCATAAACCCTAAGTATGTACGGAGTTCTTTTAAAACGAATCAGTAGAAACTATGTCTTTCATTAGTATCAGAGAAAATATGTTCTTCATTTGGTTTTAACTCCCCGGATTTTTGATGCAAGTAGAACAGTTAATCCAAACTTCACCTTTTTCCTATTCTGCCTGTCTGGAAATTCTGAACCGTGATAGTGTTGCAGCTGTGACCTCTACTTGTTCAAACATGCTCTAGACTTCTTGCTTTTCCTGATCTGGCAGGGAACATGTGAGGTTTGACTTAGTTGTGCTAATATCTAGGGAAAAAAAATTAACAACTGGTTCTTAAAAGTTGGACCAAACTGATTAAATAACTCTCTGCAGCCTATTAGATGAATTAGTTTCACTGCCCCCAAATCCTGGCTCCATTAAATTGAAGAATAGTAGCATATGTAGAATGAAGCACATATATTTCAAATTAAAGACTACGTCATCTTAAAGCATATGCTAAAGTCAGGGATTTGTTAAGTATAATAGTGCTTAAAGGCCTTTCAATCATAAATTTCTATTAGCACTGGTGATGATGAAGTGCTACTGTTAATAGGAAGACAAGAAATACTTAAAGGTCTGCTGCAAATTAATAGTGATATATCAGTAGAATGTTCTTCCTGTTCCTGAAGAATACATATATAATACAGTTGTCTTTATGACTGAGTGACCAAACTACTTTCTGCTATACATTATAGTAAAGCTTAGCTTTCAAAGCTATGATGACCTTGATGGCATAGAAATGATACTAAGCCACTATCTTGAATTAGCTGCATCTAAGGCAAATTAATAGAAATGGGGATATACAAAACTCCCAAGTTTGGGAATAGTACTTTCTGGAGAACTTTGGAACATTCTGTAATTCTTCCAGATCACACTAAACTTCTTCCAAGATCATGCTCTCCCAGGGGTGGTCTATGATCGAAATGGAAGATTTAAGAGTTTTCTGGAACTGTTTGTTGAAGCAGTGAGCTATTCAGCATTCTTATAATGAAATTTTAGTTGAACATTTTAATAATTACCACTTGGTTCCTTAAATTATATATAAACAAGAGGGACAATAACGTTTTAGAAATCAATCTACATTAAAAAAAATCAATTACATTTAATAAGGATTTGCTGTTATCTTTTGACCATTTTGTGTTTACTTCATGTTAATAAACAGAATTCTATTAATTTTTTTCTGCCACTATGTTAAGAAATTTTCAGGGAAGTGAGCTACCATAAATAATGCTAGTATGTAACAGTTACAATTATTCCTTCTCCTAGTATCAAACTGTGTCCTGTGATTTTGAAAAAGTATTAGTTTTCAGCCAAAAATTAACTACTTTATTCTTTTGATTAAAACGGTACTCATCTTCAGAAACTCTTCCCATCTCTGCTGCCTCTAGTAATAATACTCTGTCAGTTGGAAAAAAAACTTATAAATCTGCTATGGAAAAATGACAATCATCTCGGAAAATAATTGTTTGGAAAGACTATGCATGAAATATACATATTTATGTTTATGATAGAAGCAGAGATACACATGTAGTTCAGAAATGCTCTTAGGCTTGATAGATAAATAAATTTTGAAGAGTATTATAAAACATTCTTGCTGGCAATCTCATATCTCATTGTAATAGAATTAGAATTTCTATACGATGTATTCATACAAAACATTTTATATAGAATCACTTGTTGTTTTTGCCTTCTGTTGTTCATGTATTCTTTAGTGATCTTCCTCTTCATTTCTTCTAATTTTTAAACATCTATGGTAAGAGACTACAGAAATATAGCTCTTGTTGATGTGGCAACATAGATAAAACATTTTTTCCTGCTTCTGTCACCAACTTACATTCCGAGTTTAAAGGTCAAAGCTATTGAAGTACTAAAATAAGTTCACAAGGCTATTTTGTGTGTCAGAGTATTTTAAAGGGGTGTGATCATATATCTTTCAACCTTTTCAGTGGCTATCAACAAAGAAAAAAGAGTAATGTGGAACCATTTCTGTTGAAGGATTTAACATTGCATGGGATGGAATTCTGGCTTGATTCCCCTTAGACTGAAAAGAAAAACAATTAGATTTTGGCATCTTTTGCAAAATGGTATCAAATTATGTTAGACATAATTAAATGAATTTAAGTGAATTTAAATATAAGGCAGTGGCTCTCAATCTGTGGTCTGTGGACCTCTGGGGGCTGCAATGTCATCATGGGTCTGCGAAGGCTTGAATAAATGTTATGATTTAAATCTTGAGTTAAGTCTTGGAGGGTCCATGGCCATTATCCATGGCCACAAAATGTATTTAAAGGGGGATCTGTGGTAAAGTAAAGGTTGAGGACCACTGATATAAGGCATTGGTTGGATTTGTGGCAGAAGGAAAAGAAGGTAGAGGATGTTATGGAAATGGTATGTGTAAACAGAGCAAGAAAGAATGATGGATATGAAAATATTAGCTGTTCAGTTAAGGAAGCAAATGGGAGCAAAGTTATGGGGTTGCATTTTAGTTCTAGCCTGTTGGTCCTAGACATAATGTCCTCAGCTTTTTATTTCCCTTCTGTAACTGGACGAGTCAAAAACATTATACTCATTCATTTATTTATTGAGGGAAAGGAACCAAGGCTACATACTAGTTGTAGGACTTCTGTGGAGAACAGATCACATTTTCGTTTGTTTTATGCAGAAATATTGAATATTCAAAAAAGTTCATAAACTTTTATGCACCACTATATATGTACTGCCTTTTCATTGTTTTAGGTGTATAGGTAATCCTCAATATCAGTTTGTTTAGTGACCATTCAAAGTTACAACGTCACTGAAAGAAGTGACTTATGACCATTTTTCACATTTATGACTGTTGCAGCTTCCCCATGGTCACGTGATCAAAATTCAGACGCTTGACAACTGATTCATATTTATGACAGTTGCAGTGTCTTGGGTCATGCAGTCACTTTTTGTGACCTGCTGACAAGCAAAGTCAATGGGAAAGCCAGAGTCACTTAACAACTGTGTTAGTAACTTAACAACTGCAGTGATTCACTTAACAGCTATGGCAAGAAAGATTGTAAAATGGGACAAAACTCACTTAACAACTGTCTCAATTTGGGCTCATTTGTGGTCATAAGACAAGGACACCTGTACAAGATAGGTTACAAAATGCATATTTATTGCCTTATTTCTTTCATGTCTGGGAATACTGGTTTAGCATATTAACCCTGTCTTTCATTATTGCACTAAAGCCAAGATGAGTAAGAAGAAAAATACCAAATGTACAAGGTACCTCATAGTTACCTAGAATTACATGGGACGAGGATTGCTTGATCTACACAGTGCGTCATCTTGTAACTTGCTGATATGCATTTTCTTTTCTTTTTCTGCTTTACACAGGACATCTTATTTAAGCTTGTCGACTGTTTTAAAAAAGAGATTACCAAAAATTATTGTTATAGGTCACTTCAACGTGTTTCAGTTTTATTGTTGTCTTACATTTTATACATAATTGGCATTTTGCATAGTATATATGTAATTATGTGAAACAGATGATTTTAAGATGCTAGTATTTTGACTATTCAAATAGTTTTGTTCTTTTGTTTTTTTTAAATGATACATTATTGCATTCTCATATAAAATTTTAATTACTAATATTGACTGCTCTTCAGATGAGGCTTCTGGCAGTCTTTGGGTAATATTAATTCATTTCATTTATTGTTGACTTTTTTTTTCTTTCCGGGTTCTTAAATAACTCTGTAATATGTCCAGTAAATAAATGTCTTCCTAGCCTGTTGTAATGAGTTATATATTTTTACAATCCAATGCAATAAATTGAAGTGGTGATACATATTTTGGACTGAGTATCTTTCAGAAGTCATTATGCAATATGCATCACTATTTAATGTAACAATGCAGTCACTATTCATCTGAAGAACAGTATTTGGTGTCTTAGATATTATACAATTATAATAAAATACGATTAATGAAATGAGTACAGAGTATATGAGTACTCTTTGTTAGTTGGAGTAGCAATTTGCTCTTAGTCTAAATGTTTCTGCTATATGCAAATGTTTAATCATGGAAGATAGGAATGAAATTTAGAGGAGATAGTGGAAAGGGAACAGCATGCTTTCTGACTACAGGAGTTCTCTCCCACCTTAAAAATGCTCTTTAACTTCTACTGAAACCTGATTGTTATTCAGCATTTGTTCTGTGATTGTATTATCTTATTGATTAGACTGCATTTTAAATGTCCTATGTAATTGGACTTAGAATCTTAGAATAACAGAGTTGGAAGGGACTTTGGAGGCTTCTAGTCCAATCCCCTGCTCAAGCAGGAGACCCTATACCATTTTAGACAAATGATTGTCCAGTCCCTTCTTAAAAGCCTTCAGAGTTGGAGCACCCACATTGTACCCACATTAATACAAAGTACTTCAAAGTGGTTTGTTCTTATAATTTGATTATCTGACAAATGATCAGTACATGATGAGAAATTATTACAGTTCATAGTTAATTATAATGGTTTTTCTACGGAAGCAGTGTTTTTCATAAATTATATACAAGTAAAGTTTGCGTGGTATGACAACAGAATATCCGTCCATGCTCTTTCTAGCACAGGGGTGTCAAATTCGCAACATCACTGGGCAATGGGGTGGGTGCGGTTTCACCATGATGTATCCAGCCTGCAGGCCGGCAGTTTGACACCCCTGTTCTAGCAGAACTTAATTTGTATCGAGGCAATTGTAACTTGCTTTCCAGTATTACTTGAAAATTTCACACTGTTGTTAATCATTTCAGTATTGGAATGTTATTTTATAAACTCAGACTTATTATGTTTTATAGTTTATATATATGGCACAGTTTAATATCATAAAGACAATAGAACAGCCCTCTCTTCCCGATAAATATTTAAATATAATTCTTCCTACCAAGCAACCATAATCTCAAATTCACTTAGTTAAAAATATTTACATTTCAGACAAATAGAAAAACAGATAAAGGTAATTTATACAAATAAAGGTAGTTTAAAACCTAATCCACATGGACTAACTCTTCTCCCTGAAATGATCTTTCCCAATGGCTTGTGGTTGAGATCCTGAACATTTGTTAATTTTTGAAAATACTTTATTTTTTTCTTTCTTACTTGTACCCTAGGTGGAATTTTCCTTCAATGGGATTTTCCCATGTATTTTACCAGGAAACCTACATTAGGTACACGAGAAATATAAGTTCCCTCTTAAGCATACCCAGATACTCTGAGTCCATTGGCACCGTCAATTTTGCACTCCAAGGTCATGGTGACCTAACCCTAAATCTAAGTGGAATTTTCCTCCAATGGGATTTTCCCATGTATTTTTCCAGGAAACAGATCGTACAGGCTAGAAAAGTCAGTGCCCTCCTAACCATACCCAAGCTCTCCGAGTTGGTTGGCTATGTCCATTTTGCTCTCCGAGTTTATGGTGACCTAACCCTAACACTAAGTGGAATTTTCCTCCAATGGGATTTTCCCATGTATTTTACCAGGAAACATAGATAGGGCAGGCTAGAAAAGTCAGTGCCCTCCTAACCATACCCAAGCACTCCGAGTTGGTTGGCAATGTCCATTTTGCTCTCTGAGTTTATGGTGACCTAACCCTAACCCTAGGTGGAATTTTCCTCCAATGGGATTTTCCCATGTATTTTATCAGGAACCAGATCGGGCAGGCTAGAAAAGTCAGTGCCCTCCTAACCATACCCAAGCACTCTGAGTTGGTTGGTGATGTCCATTTTGCTCTCCAAGTTTATGGTGACCTAACCCTAATCCTAAGTGGAATTTTCCTCCAATGGGATTTTCCCATGTATTTTACCAGGAAACATAGATAGGGCAGGCGAGAAAAGTCAATGCCCTCCTAACCATACCCAAGCACTCTGAGATGGTTGGCGATGTCCATTTTGCTCTTCGTGTTTATGGTGACTTAACCCTCCAATGGGATTTTCCCATGTATTTTTCTACGAAACATAGATAGGGCAGGCTAGAAAAGCCATTGCCATCTTAACCATACCCAAGCACTCTGAGTTTGTTTGAGATGTCCATTTTGCTCTCCAACATCTGGGTTACCTAACCCTAAATTCTTTTATGGTTTTGTATCATGAAAATCATGGTACAAATAAGCGAAGTAATAAATCTGTATTTTCTGCACAGATAAGCTTTTCTTGATGAAAATTTCTTTCAAGGTCTTTCGAATTGCAATATATAGCTGTTGTTGAGTAGATAATATCTTTCTGAGCATAAACTAAGTCTTCAGTCTTCGTGATTTCATAATACTCATTAAATTGTGATCTAGTTATAGAAACGGTGGGAGCTATTTTTCATAAAACTCATTTTTGCAAAGATAATCTTCCTGGGAAGCTATGAATATTTGGTTGTCTTAGTACCACATATTTGATTATATGAAACTTCAAAATAATTGTTAAGTGTTTTGCATTGAAATATTGTATATCTCCATGGGTAGAGGAATCTCAGTGCCATGCAGTACTTTGGGCTTGAAAAGCATTTCCTATAGCTTGCTTTGGTGGCTGGAGGAAAAGTGTGAATTAGACTTGAGTATTGGTCTCCCCAGGCCTTTTTATAAGAATTGTTTTCAGGACCATAGCTTGTAATAGAAATGTGTGTGAGTGCTTGGAATGTTTTGCTTTATCGTATATCTTCAGATCAAGATTTATTTTAAGGATTTATTTAACCACAGGCTGAATTAGTATATTATTATATAGAACTTGGGTGGGAAATGTATTGAGTACTGTTGGTTCTTTTTTTTAAAAGAGGAAGCCCCCATCTGAAAGGAACACCGTATTATAAGGAAGAACAATGTGCTCCATCATTAAATCTAGAGAAGAAACAAGTGCTAGATTTACAAGCAGCTATTACCAGGTACAGTGACTAATAACTTCTATATTTAAATTATTTACCAGAAAAGCAGGAAATAAGGTGATTAATAATGCAGCGTTATCAGATTATAGTATAATTAAGAGCAGAAGTGAATAATGTCATCTTAGAGTATCAATTTGCTTGGCAGTTCCTTAGAATCTTTAGTAGATCTTCTCACCATCTACTACTTAATTCTTTTAATCAGAAATACTACAGCTGCCCCCACCAAGAAAATTTCTAGAAACTCTGATATAAGGGCTCTGAGAGCTTAAGGGCAGATAAACTGGTTATACTGTTTGGACAGATTCTGTATATCTTTTCCTGCAGCTCTACTGAGTGCCAGGACATGGAGCTTTTGTAGTCCTCACTTACGAACCACAAAATATGTCACTAAGCAGAGCGGTTGTTAATTGAAATGTCACCTGACTGCACTGGCTTACATCAGTTCTAGTGGTGTTTCTTAAGTGAATCACCACAGGTTAAGTGCAAGATCATGTGACTGCAGTTTCCAAGTTCCTGTGACTTCTCTGTTGACTTTGCTTGTTGCAAACTGGCTGTGGTGATTGCAAATAGTGATCACGTGACCATAGGATGCCTCAACCACTGTAAATATGCACTGCTTGCCAAGTGACTAAATTATGATCATGTGACTTTAGAGATGCTGTGATGGCTGCAATTTTGAAGACTGGTTATGAGTCTCTTTTTTCAGTGGCATCATATCTCTGAACAAGCTGTCAACGGACCACTTGTATACAGTCTGTACTATATTTATAGTTATCTAAAGTACAAATGTCCATGAGCTCAATTGTCAATACAGGGTCTGAACCCCACTGAAGCTTTTGGGTGGCAAGTCCCAAATAGGACCAATCTGGCCATGTAGCGCCTCCTAGTGCTGACCAATGTAACTGAAAACACAATATATACATTGTATAAAAATGGAACATTTCCTTTCCTCTTAAAGTAAAGGGGATGGAAATCATGTAAAACCTTGTACATGCAAACGTGAAATAATGTAACATCGTATTTTTTTTCTCTGCTCTGAATTCTTAATAGAAGGGGAACTGTATATACCACTCTGACTAATTTCAGATAGTTGGGAAGCTCTAAAGTAGTGTCCAAAGGTCTGTTTCCGAGTTACTCTGCCTCTCTTAGCAGAACACAGGGCTACTTTCAATAGTTCTTGTCCTTCCATCCCTACATCCTGCTTCAATAAGTTGGAGAATTATTTAGAGCAGATCTTGGAGGTGGTGTTGGGTTATGTCTATAAAAATGTTTAAAAGTTCTAAATAGAATTGATGTATTGGTAAAAATTTCATTTCTTTTATATCAAATGTATGATAAAACAATGTGCCTTGCTTGTAGTTTACAGTCCATGCTAGAGGATCTGATCATTGCTACAGCTGATGGTCTTCTCCATCTTATTCACTGGAATGGCTTGACGAATGGAAGGAAAGCCATAAATCTCTGTACAGTACCATTTTCAGTGGATCTACATTCATCTAGAGGTATTTCCTATATATGGGTGGAAAAGTGGGGATTCTGAATTAAAATGTAATTGATATTTTTATTAATTCATAGCAATTCCCATTTCTTATATTATATGGAAATAGAACTGATGAAGAGAGCTTGCACTTTAATAATGGCAGCTTTTAATAACTGTGTTCTTTACCAGGTTCTTTTTTGGGTTTTGAAAGTGTGCACATAAGAAATATGGAATACTGTGCTACTCTTGATGGATTTGCCGTAGTGTTTAATGATGGTAGAGTTGGTTTTATTACACCAATGTCAAGTGGATTCCCAGCAGAGGTAAGATTTCTTAGTAGTTCAATAATAGTTTGATTGGCTTTTCCAAGATATATCAAAATATTTGCTCATCTGTCCATTTAATAATATTTGAGCTATGCTTGAGAAATTGTAAAAATGTATATAGTTAGCCTCGTTTACTAGAAGATAGGATTAATTTACAGAAATATATAAATAAAATAAGATTCATTTTTTTGGCAGTAAAATATTAATGGAAGATTACCCCTATAAAGAAAGGAGAAAATAGACAAGTAATATTTCTAGAATATCTGATTGTTTCATAATCTCATATTGTTATATTCTAATAAATTTGAACTATATCATTTTGTTCTTTGTAAATTTATTTCCTTGAAATATGTTATTCTCATGTGCATCATTTATACATTCTTTGCTTTACATTTAGCACTATATAAAATAAATATTTCAAAATGCTTGATATTGTACTTATAGCTTAAAACGTGTATCAATTGAAAAAGAGCATATAGGCCATACCTCATTTTAAGATGTAACACAATGTGCTGAAAGCTAAACAGATAACTTGGATAAAATATTCTTGCAGCAACTCCATGGTGTTTGGGCACAGGAAGTTTTCGATGGGACTTGTGTGGCTATAAATAACAAGTACAGATTAATGGCATTTGGCTGTGCAAAGTAAGTTGAACATCTTAACTCAGAAGTAGAATATATTCTTTTTAGATTATCTGAGTATAAAATTATTACTATGCCAGTGGTTCTCAACCTGTGGGTCGGGACCCCATTTGTGGTTGAATGACCATTTCACGGGGGTCGCCAAACAACACAGTCCGCCATTTTTTTCCCCTTTTCCTTAGCTGTGCTACTCCCTTTTATTCTATTGGCTTTCAAAAGCCAATAGGAATTGTCCAGGCTGTCTCTGCCCTGCTGAGCCCGCTAAAAGTCCCATTCTGCAAACAGTGCTGCACCAGTTGAGTAGTCCTCGACTTACGACCGGTTGGGGGTCACGGCATTAAAAAGGTTGAGAACCACTGCTATAAGAGGACATTACCTTTGCTTTTAAATGCAAATCCAAAGTGTATCATATCACGGGGAAAACTATCTCTTGTAAATGAAATTATAAATTTAATTAATTATGTAGTTATCTAATAGGGTTGACGGAAGTGCATGTTTTTAAATTCCGCTGTTTTTAAATTAATGGTGTTTCTATTTTGTACATTAACAGTTGTTACTATAATAATCAAAGTTCAAGTTGCCAAGTGCAGCAAATCTTTCATGTTCATTGAGCGATATTAGATATCAAGCCTATATTATATAAGTATGGTTGTAGAAAAAAGTCTCAAACCAGTAACCAGAGAAGTGTATTTTTGCTATTGTTATAATAAAAATAGACTTAAAGTTAAAAGAAATTCATCCCCTGTTGCTTCTTATCAGGTCTGTTTGCCCAGACCAACCAGGATTAGTCTACAAAAGGTGTGGTTAACTATTATTTCCATTGTTTATTATGGAATTAAAATAATCACCATCCTCATTCCTGCAGCTAAGGTTTGTGGTAAATAGCACTCAAAATGGATTATTAGACCATGTTTATATGCTTAAGGCTAAAAAAGGAGCAAAAGGCTTGCTCTGAACTGCTTTTCTTTTTCTTGTAATAGAATGTTCAAAACATTTTAGAGTGGTGGTGTTGAAATAGGAATATTGTTTGAATATTTGTACAAAGGTTTTTTGTACAATTTGCCTTCCTATAAGTTGATCATTATTTGCCTTATATTCTGCACACATGTAGAATATGTTTGACATTCTTTTGTCAGATATTTGAGGTGTGTTATCATATCCACTGCATTCTCCTCAAGGCTAAATGTGCCAAATGCCTTCACTTTCTTGTCATAATACTTAGTTTTTAGTGCATTAAGTACCCTTGTTGCCCTTTCTTAAAACTTCTTCAAATTTTCTGAATTACTTGCCCCAAGATAAGAAGGCCATTTCTCATATTGTAAAATGAAATGGTACTGTGAAAATAATTTACCAGAATATTAGATTATTCTGTTGTTATCTAAAAGATTGATTATTCATTGCATTTCTAAGTTATCTGCTGTATGGTATAAAAGTAGAAAAAGGTTGGATGTGAAGAAATAAATAAGAAAGCCAACCAATCCAATCTAACAAGCATTGTGCATATTTATTTATCTAGTACAGGGCTTTTCAACCGGTGGTACGCATATCACCAGTGGTACGTTGGCACCTGGCAGGTGATACATGTATGACAGGTTGAACGGCACTGTAAAAAAATGTGTAAAAAAAGTGTAAAAGTGGATGAGGTGAAGCGGCAGCAGCACCGCACAGGCTTGTGGGAAAGTCAGCTGGAACTGCACGAGGCGTTGCCTGGGTCCTACTGAGAGTCCAGGATCAAAGCGCGCAGCTCCAGCTGATTGCCGGCGGCCTTGGAGGTGGCAGGCAATCTCACACAGTCTTCGGGTGGAGATTAAGCTGGAGCTGCATGACGCATTGCCTGGGTCCTGCTGAGAGCCCAGGATTGCTGCGCGCAGCTCCAGCTGATTGGGGGTGACAGGCAGCCTCACACAGTCTTCAGGCAGAGATTCAGTTGGAGCTGCGTGAGGCATTGCGTGCCTGGGTCCTGGGAGAGCCCAGGATCAGCGTGCACAGTTCCAGCTAATTGGGAGTGGCAGGCAGCCTCACGCAGTCTTCAGGCAGAGATTGAAATGGAACTGCGTGAGTTGTTGCCTGGATCCTGCTGAGGGGGAGAGAAGAGAGGATATTAAAGGGGGTGAGAAAAGAAGAGAGAGGATATAAAGGGGGTGAGGACTATCTATATTTTATCATTTTTTTCTGTTTTTTGGGTCATCAAGTTTTTGACATCTTGCTAGGTGACTGGTGGTACTTGAACATTGCGATATTCTAAAAGTAGTACAATCGGTGAAAAGGTTGAAAAGCCCTGATCTAGTAGATCCCAATGGATTCAGTTGGATGCATGGTGTTCATGTAGCAGTTAAACCTATTAGTAGTTCTTTCAATAAGTCATATCTTAAATCTAGAATTGGTTCAAGGAAGGCCTGCAGATGCTACATTCAAGCTTTCTGCACAGCCCTAATATGATTATGACATCTGTTTCCCTCTGACACTAATGAGGTACTGGTAGTCTTTGACTTACGACAGTTCATTTAATTCAAAGTTATAACGGCACTGAAAAAAGTGACTTATGACCCTTTTTCACAGTTACAAACTTTCCAGCATCGCTGTGATCATGTGATCAGAATTCAGATGCTTGACAACTGGTTCATTTTTATGACTTTTGCTGTGTCCCAAGATCATGTGATCATCTTTTTGAGACCTTCTGACAAGCAAAGTCAATGGGAAAGCCAGATTCACTTAACCAGGTTATTAACTTATCAACTGTAGTGATTCACGTAACAAATGAGGCAAGGAAGGTTATGCAATAGGGCAAAATTCATTTAGCAAATAAACAGAAATTTTGGGCTCAGTTGTGGTCATACGTTGAGGACTATCTGTATTTGAATTAATTATATGAAGTGGACAGTCTTTCAATTCAGATTTTCATCTAATCAGCTTAATTTTAAAATTCTTATCTCAGAATTGTGTTTTTCTTTTCTTTTCTAGTGGGTCTGTGCAAGTGTATACAATAGATCATTCCACAGGGGCCATGCAATTGTCTCACAAACTGGAACTAACACCCAAGCAATATCCCGGTAAGCCCAGTTATATTAAAGCTCAGATTGAATTGTTTATCATCTTTTTGGTAATATCCCCCCTTGATTCATTTATAACAAGTAAACAGTTTAGCATACAGTGTCCATAAAAAAGGCTAAGCTACATATCCAATCATCTGGGTCAATGCATATTCAATTATGTATATCCTGTACAGTTCTGTAGCGGACAATATATTTCTGACAAAATTTAAAATATCATTGTTATCACCCATCATAAAGTACAGTCAGACTGTTGTGCTCATGGCCATACCATCTGCGTAAAGACAGCTATTTCTTTCTTTTAAGGAGGAGTCATCAGCTGTTTGTTAACAATAATAGAACTAGCAGGTGTGAGCTGAAAAAAATCTAAAAAATTTCTAGGGGTTAGGAAAGAGCTGTGTTTGCCATAGTTCTTCTTCTTCTTCTTCTTTTTAAACCTAATGGCCATAATGATTTTGCAACCCAGATTGTTCTACTAGTTACCCAATGTCAATGCATTGTTTGCTTAGTCATGCAAAGAAAAATCGAATGGTTGGTTACCAGGAAAAAAGGTTCCCTTTGCACCAACATTTATACATCTAACACATAGTTTAGAAAGTTATAAATCTTACTTTTCTGTTAATCCTGATGACTTCTCACTCTGTTTTTGTGCACTTCTATGTATCTCATGAGGAGGATGAAACTGTGCAGAGTTTAATGAAATTAAATTGCATCCTGTTAGGATTAATATTTTGGGGGATATCACCGCTCCCACAGAGCCAATATACTACAGTCTTCTCTTCACTTGTAACTAAGTTTCTCTTTCTGATCCTGAAAGAATAACGAGTGTGAGATTGAATTGAATCCCCTGTGTGCCATTTTGAATTTCCAGAAGAAAAGTGAGAGTTAAATATATTAAATAAATACTATTCAACTACTGCCCATCTTTAAAATAGTTAAAAATGTTAAAAATGGGTTTTTTAAAATCTGCCGACAATTTTTGTATTTCAATAGATATTTGGAACAAAACAGGAGCTGTTAAACTCATCAGATGGTCTCCTGATAATTGTGTTGTTATGGTGACCTGGGAATGTGGAGGCCTGTCTTTATGGAGTGTATTTGGAGCCCATCTTATTTGTACTCTAGGAGGTGACTTTATGTAAGTAACTTGTGCTTCATATTAGGAAATTTAACCAAAATATGTACCTGCTCTTTAACTTTTTATTTGCTACACAAAGCTTTTAAAACTATTTTTCTTTGCTTAGCTGTTTAATATCTCATATTGTATATATTATTGACTGAGTTAGTAAAGCAAAAGGCTCATTTTTTCTGCACAATATTTTAATAAATGAAATGTTTAACTTGTCTGCAACTACAAAACCAATTCTCCCTTCAGTCTTTGTTGTACAAAATATAGATCTGTGTTTTTATGTGTGATGTATACCATCAAATTCAGAGCTATTTTTAATAGCCACAGAAGAGCTTCCTCGTGCTTAGTAGACTTGTTGAAGTTGAGAAAACTTATCTGATATGATACTTTTAAATTAATAGAAAAGTACAAATGATACTAAAAATCCCTAGAATAGCGTTACTGAAATATTTGTGATATAATGCCTATTTTTCTTGGCTATTTTGGTTTAATACATCAAGAATGAAAAGGAGGGACTTGGAAACAGAATTAAAAATGCCTCCTAATTAGTATGTATGTAGTGAATTGAAAGACACATTCTCTTTAATATCCAATATTTAAATGTAATATTTTGTTTATGCTATTCATTTTAGTCATCGAACTGATGGTACTAAAAAGGACCCTTTAAAGATCAGCTCTATGGTGAGCATCATTTATTATTGTCTTACTAGTCTCTTTTTCTCCCTCATCTAGGCACACGCAATTAAATTTATTCTAATACTTTCCCAAATAAATTAACCTGGACTTATCCACGCTGCTTAAATTGAACCTCTTTCTGCATTTATGTTACAATCCAGATATTTTTAAGTTACTTTCTTAATTTAATTTACTTAATTTACACAAAGACAAATATTCAGGTTCATAAGACTTAGCAAATTATATTCTCTGTCTAGGACAGATCTTAGAAAAATCACAGCATGTCGTTCCTTCTGCCAGAATAATAAGACCATTCAGTTCATAGGAACTAGAATATGTCTTGGATAACTGTACTCAGCAAATACTGCCGATATTTCACAGAACATGCCTGACCTTTGGATACGGATTTTGTCTGCAGTTTTTCCTAGCACATGGCTCTGAGAGGTATATAGAATGGTGAAAATATCTGAAAATGGTGGGAAAGGGAGATATAAAGGAGAAGAAATGTGCTTTTCATTACACTTATTGGTGTCAACTTGATATTAAGCATTCTTTGAGTAGAAAAATTCTAAACAGTATTTCTTTATTCCAGTGTTTTAGTTGTTTTAAATAGCAATAGACTTTTATACTGCATCATAGTGCTTTACAGCCCTCTCTAAGCAGTTTACAGAGTCAGCATATTGTCCCCAACAATCTGAGTCCTCATTTTACTAATCTTGGAAGGATGGAAGGCTGAGTCAATGTTGAGCCAATCAGGATTGAACTGCTGGCAGTTAGGAGAGTGAGTCTACAATACTGCATTCTAATCACTGGGCCACCACGGCTCAGAATGATGATAAATGATACACTCTATTTTTTTTTTCTTAGAGCTGGGGATCAGAAGGCTATCATTTATGGGTAATCGATGCAAATAATTTTGGGAATTCAGTGACTGAGAGCAAAAACAAAGGACAGCATTTTGGTATTTTGCAATTTCAGTTCATCAAAAGTGCACTCGCAGTTAATCCTTGCATAGTAAGTATTCATGTTTGATGATTTGTAGTCCTAGGTCAATTTTATTACCTTTTTGGTCAAAACGTTGCCTAATTTGGATTATCTTAAAATTGGTTTTTTTTAATGTAAATGAAATTGTATATAATAATATGGCGGTGCAAACATTTGAAACATGAAAGTGCTACCACTCTTAAATAATCTTTTTCCAATTTTATTCGGTTTTCTTATTTTCTTTGAAACTTTATGTTATTCTTCACTGTCTGAAGTACTGATTTCTTTTGTTTATTCACAGAGCAGCCAGGAGCAGGTCCTCCTTCAGGGAGAAGATCGCTTATACTTGAACTGTGGTGATGTAGTGCAAGCTCAGAATCCTAGAAGTTCCTCAGCACATGCTGAACATAAGACTGTCAGAGAAAGAGGCCAATTTTCATATGAGAACTTAGATTCTCAGGGTTTAAGCACTTTATTAGGGCACAGACATTGGCATGTTGTACAGGTAACTTCTTCTCTTGGTACTTGACTGCTTCCCTTTTCATATCTTATTTTTTGAAAACCTGTCAGCTGTTGCTGTGAAAGAAGACCAGATTAAAAACTAGTGACTTCCCAAGGCTACGTCTTAAACTGCTTGGAACTTTGAGTGTGGCTTTCCCATAATACAGCTCTATAATTGCTATTGTCTATTAGGATCAAAATATCTTTACTGTTAAAACATCCTAACTGAATTTTTTTTACTTACGTTCCTGATAGAATGCACATATATACATGCCAATAAATATACATATGCCAATAAATATATAAGATATAGACGCAAATAAAATTTGCTAATAATTTGACCTCATGTAATAGTGTAGATGAAATCCTTGACTTACAACCATCCATTTGTGGATTGCTACAAGCTATGGAATTTTAGTCACCAGTTTTACATTTCAGGAAAAGAATTAAAGACTAGTTCTTCAGCCAGTTTTTTTTATTTATAGTATTATTCTAGTTGTTTCATTGGGTTTTTAATTGTTTTACATCATTCAATTCCTTGAATGTTCTTTGCAGTGGAAAGGGGAGAAAAGCAAATAAAAATAAATCAGATTGGCTATTAATACTCCACCAAATCATTTAACATAGGAGGACAGACTTTTGAAAAAAATCATTAGCTATCAGATGGGTAAATATTCATGTGAATTTTTAAGATGTATATTTTTTTCAAGATTAAAATGTTTCTAATCAGGCAAGTAACCTCTCAGCAGAAAGAATTCCAAACACCTGATTTCCTTAAGGGCCAAACCACACATTAAGTCAGACGTGTCAAACTCATGACGTCACGCAATGTATCGGGACTGTTTTGCCATTGCTGGCAATGGGGTGGGCGTGGCTTCTGCATGACGTGTCCAGCCCGCAGGTCAGCAGTTTGACACTCCTGCATTAAGTCATAGCTCCATGTTTAGAGCTCACATAATATTTCTCAGGAACCACTATAGGATGGTTCCATTTTTTATTGAGGTTAGGGAAGAGATGAGTCCCCAGTATTTTTGGCCTCTATCGAATTGTGACTTTGTGATATCAGCAAGTGCTGGATTTAAAACAAAGTGAGAAAGTTACAATGAAGGGAAAGGTATAAAACAGGGGTCTTCAAACTTGGCCCTTTTGTGACTTGTGGACTTCAACTCCCAGAATTCCTCAGCCAGGCACGCTGGCTGAGGAATTCTGGGAGTTGAAGTCCACAAGTCATAAAAGGGCCAAGTTTGAAGACCCCTGGCATAAAATAAAGAATGATCTAGATAGATTCAACAGCTGATATGCATGTCAAGATATAACCATAGATCAAGTAACGTCTCAGATTTGGGAACTGAAAATTTGTATGGAAGAAACCTTATCCACTCTATAATATTGGAGTATGTAGGTAATAAAATATAGAAAGATCAGTGCTGGATGATTATTCCAATAGGTTTGCATAGTACAATAAATTATTAGTATATTTGATGTAAAAACAATGTTTCCAATCTTAATTTTTCTTTATTAAAATGCATAATTATTGTAGCATTGTTTCTACCAAAATGTACTCAGCTTTAGACATTTTGAGACAAATTATATGCAAATCCTATCATTAGTAGTTATCATTGGTGACCTTTTATTTTAAACAATCCTTTACAGTCACCCTGATATTGTAAAAAATGCTGAATATCTACTATACAAATACCCAGAGATCTTGTACTGAAAATGGGAACAAATATCTGCAGATGAAACCATGTAATATTTTATCTATTGACTTTGATGAAGTGTGGTAATTGTAATAATTTTTCATAATGCTTTTTTTTCCTTTTTTTTTTAAAGATTCACAATATATATTTATAAATCAACTGGCCTATAAGGGTAAGTTGTTTTAAAATGTTAATACATTGTATTGAGAAAGAAACTTCATTTTTTGTAGAAATGAATTTGATGGGGCAGCTTGTATTAGAAATTACGATTAATGAAATAGAGCAAATAGTATAATTCCTTTGTTAATAAGGATCTAACAAATTGCATTTGTTTAGTTTTCAGCCATTGATAAGATGGGGCAGAATGTAGCTGTAGTTGGCAAATACGGCTTTGCACATTACTCTCTGCTTTCCAAAAAATGGAAATTGTTTGGCAACATTACCCAGGTAAGTGACTGATTATAAATTAATTAGTGGGGAAAGAAACATTACTATCTAAAAATATTATTACCAATTTATAGAATGTCCTTGAGGTTTACAGACTTGATGGTTGGAATAAACAGTAGATTTTTAAAAAGTTGAATAATTCTAGCTTTCCATTTAATTTTAGGAACAAAATATGACTGTTACTGGAGGCTTAGCATGGTGGAATGACTTCATTGTCATTGCATGTTACAACTTAAGTGACCGCCAGGAAGAGGTAAGGCAGACCTTGAATATAAAAGACTGAAATTCTTCTGTTGGTGCACTTTTATGGCAACATTAAATAGAAATCTGCCTGTCACATAGTTATATTAAAACTTTGTTGCCTGCATAGCAGTAACAATGTCCCAGATTTCAACTACTTGTTATTTTCATTTTTCTTTCTGTTCTCAGAAAGTATTAGGGTTAAAATTAATACTCCCCAAAATTCTGATTTTTGTAAATATGTTTTTTTATCAGAACTGAGGAACTTATTATGATAAGGAATGCCCAGTGTTATTTTTCAAACAAAACTAAGAGGAGATAGTAGACTCATTCTAAAATTCCAAGGATGTTTTATGGCAAGCTATATTGGGATATACTTGGGATAAGAGAAATTCCCTAAATTTTTATATCCAAATATAAGTAACGTGATGTTAGTCTCACTTTCCTTATGAGTATGATAGTTCAGAAATTGGATTCTCCATCTAAAGGTTTATCTCCATGAAAGCTATATTGTTTCATACTGTAAGTTTAATTGTTCAAATGTCTGCCCATTATTACTTTTGCATTGTGTTTTTAACATGATAAATATAGAGCTTTCTTTCTTTCTCATCTCAAGGAGGAAAGGGATAGTGAATGAATAATATTAGTATCACAACAGAGATGAAAAATCCATTCCCTGAAAAATCTAGTTAAAGTGTAGATCAGCCAGGTTGCTGAAAGAAGGAGGCTAGAAAATTAGTTTAAATTCTCCTTATAGGTTTGTGATCAAAAGTATTCATTATTCTTTCAGCTAAGAGTATATTTACGAACAGCCAATCTGGACAATGCATTTGCTCATATCACCAAAGTGCAGGCAGAAACATTATTGCTCAGCGTCTTTCGGGACATCATAATTTTGTTCAGAGCAGACTGTTCCATTTGCCTTTATAGTATTAAAAGAAAATCTGATGGGTAAGTATACTTCAAATAAGTTATTGCATAAATTGTTATATTTTGTTTTTCTTTAGAGTATGGGTGAGGGCAGGGGAAGGCAACCTTGACTCTTTTATGCTGGCTCAGGAATTCTGGGAGTTGAAGTCCACGAGTCATAAAAGCCAAGGTTGCCTACCCTTGGGTCAGGGAGAAAGAAACCTTTGGTGAAACTCTCTGAAACAGATTTGAGTGGTGCCCTTTTTGCTCTTGTTCATTCTGATGTGGCCCCCTTGTAAACAATTACCCAGAGTTCAGTATTACAGGCATTCAGCAGATACTTCATGTTAGGGAACTCAGCAAAGCTAACCTTTACAATGAAAACATTTTCCTTAACCAGTAGCATTAGAAAATTGCCAAAGATATATATATATGTGTATGTATATAGGTCTTTGGTTGTTCGGGTTTTCTCCCACGTAAAATTGGAAGTGTCTTAGCAACGTTTTGACGAAGTCCCATTCGTCATCTTCAGGCTGGTGCTTTCAGCTTCGTGCTTCGAGGAGCAATGTGTGGTCTTAGCTGACGAACAACACCTAAAAACCGAACTACACACTCTCACCAATGTACTAACATCCAATGGATTCCGAAGAAATAAGATTATAAACCTAATCCAAAAAGAAACCCCCACTAAAATCCAAGACAAAGAACAAGAAAACGGCAAAGCCCTCCTCCCATACATAAAAGGCACCACAGACAGAATCAGTAAGATCCTCCATAAACACAACATCAGAACAGCATTCTGCACAAACAGAAAAATATCCACCATCCTTAGCAACCCCAAAGATTAAATTGACTTAGAAAATCAAGGAGAGAAAACCCGAACAACCAAAGACCTACATACAAACACCCGCGAAAACCTCAGAAAACATATATATGTATGTATGTATATGTATATGTATATGTGTGTGTGTGTGTGTGTGTGTATGTATATAGTTCAGTCTATAACAGTGATGGCGAACCTTTTAGAGACCGAATGCTCAAACTGCAACCCAAAACCCACTTACGTATTGTTGGGTGCCGGGTGGGCTTGGCCCATTGGGTGGGCGTGGCTGCGGTGGTAACGGCAGACTGGATGGGACTAAAAAGTTCAATCAATCAATTCCAACTTTGTGGGATCTTTTTTTCCCCACGAGAAGTTGAAATTGATTGATTGATTGATTGAACCTTTTTTTTTTTTTTGCACACGGCAGTGGAGGCCTAAAGCGAAAAGGTTTTATAAAACCCAACTGAAGGCCTAGGACTGGGGCAATGACGTGTGTGCTCACAGAGAGGGCTCTGCGTGCCACCTGTGGCACGCGTGCCATAGGTTCGCCACCACGGGTATATAGCATATTATAATCTGACTTACTTTTCAGTGCTGTTTGCTTTATTTGGTTACATAGTATATTTGCAATATCTTGGGTCTAGTAAGGATTGTTGTATTATATGAAAATTATTATCACATTCATAAATAAAAATGTCAGAATACCTTTTCAAGTCTCACAAATATTTATTTGGGGCTAGGAGGAGACTGACCACTGGGCTTTTCTTTGTCTTTCAGCCCTAATCCCACTACAAGTATTCAGGTTCTGCAAGAGGTGTCTATGTCACGTTATATTCCTCACCCTTTCCTTGTTGTGTCTGTTACTTTAACATCAGTAAGAACAGAGACAGGTATCAGCTTGAAAATGCCACAGCAGGTATCTACAGTTTTTAAAATTATTTTAAAGCTAGAGAAAACAGACTTTATACTTGAAAACAGTATACATAAGACAACATCGTCCCTCATCAAATCTGCCCCATGGTTGGGGCAAGATATACGATAGAGACATGGCTGATAAATCATGGTGTTTTAGGTTAAAGAGAAGAGAAAAATGCATGTGTTTGAACTAATACTGATTTTCCAGAACATCCTAATGTACACAATATCTTTATGAAGGAATGATTTGGATTGCTGCTGTTTTTGCTGTTTCCTGTAGGGCAGGGGCCTTCAAATGTGGCCCTTTTATGACTTGTGGACTTCAACTCCCAGAATTCCTCAGCCAGCGTGTGTGACTGAGGAATTCTGGGAGTTGAAGTCCACAAGTCATAAAAGGGCCATGTTTGAAGACCCCTGCCTGCTGTAGGGTTTTTTTGTTTTGTTTTTTGTTTTAAAAAAGGTGATGCTACTGAGAAATTTCTATTCTTCTGAATGAGAGTTTACTTGTAAAACTTTTGATGAATCAGTATGGCTGTAGTTTACTTGTAAAACTTTTGATGAATCAGTATGGCTGTATGATGTTCAGCATAAAAAATAAACTACTGGGAAAGATAAGGGATCTAATGTTATCAATGATAGTCAGCTTTACTTTTTCGAGAAGGCAGTTGGGTCATCAGCTTTTTGTCTATAATCAGCGTGGCTTGAATGCAATTGAATAGTATGCTTTTATAAACACAGGGCTGATAATGATGTGTTTGAACTTTTAGAAAAATAGTAAATCCAGCAGAATTGAAAAATAATAATAAACATTGTTTTTTTTTTTTTAAGGCCTGTGAAGCAGAGAGCATTATGTTAAATTTAGCAGGACAGTTAATCATGGTACAGAGGGATCGATCAGGTCCTCAGATACGAGAAAAGGAGAGTAGTCCCAACCAAAGGAAACTTGTGAGTTAATTTATGGAAAAATTTCATTGAAAGGAATGCACTTTGTGAATTAATCTAAATGTGTAATACTTTGTTGATCTTATAACTAAAGCAAGTATTCTTTGTTAATGAATGACTGTAACTTTTTGAAATTCTTATGACATTGCTTTTCTGTAACTGCCTTTTTTTAGATCAGGGGTTCTCAACCTTGGCAACTTTAAAACTTATGGACTTGAACTCCCAGAATTCCTCAGCCAGCTTTGCTGGCTGAGGAATTCTGGGAGTTCAAGTCCACAAGTCTTAAAGTTGCCAAGGTTGAGAACCCCTGTTTTAGATGCAAATTAAATTTGTTTCCATTATTATTTTCAAATAGCACTTGCTTACCCAACATTGTATGATAGCGATTAATGTACAAGTTTGTTTTCAAACACAACTAACAATGTGAACTGTAGCAATACCTTAATAAATATAGAAAGGAAAGGAGACAAAAATAAAGGATTTAATATCAGTAGCAAATGTAGACAGCACTGTAACTTTAGATTATTTTTAAATGAACCTGTCCTTCATTTCTGTACTTTGGTAACCCACTTATGTTGTTACAGGTAATAAGCTGTGTTGCTGATTATTTAAAATAATATGGGGAAAATACATTGTAGTAACAGGATAATATTAAAAAAAATATGGAGGAAATTAGGGAGAGTTACATTAATTTAGTAAACTAACATTTGATCATGCTTATATTAAAGAAGGATGAGATGTCAGCAGAAGTAATGTTTGTGTGTTGCCATATAAGACTTGATGAATAACTTGTAAAAAGGGAAAAAAAGAAAATAGCCTAATTAGTATTATTCCTATGTTTTCAGCTGCCATTTTGTGCTCCTGTTGTACTTGCCCAGTCTGTAGAAAATGTTTGGACGACCTGCCGTTCTAACAAACAGAAACGGCACATATTGGAGGCTCTATGGCTCAGCTGTGGGGGATCAGGTATGAAGGTCTGGCTTCCTTTGTTTCCCAGGGACCATCGCAAACCACATTCCTTTCTTTCAAGACGGATCATGCTGCCTTTCCACATTAATATCTACCCCTTGGCTGTTTTGTTTGAAGATGCCTTGGTTCTTGGTGCTGTCAATGACACTGTGCTTTACGACTGTTTATACACTCACAGCAGTGCTGTTGAACATTTAGAGGTCCTCTTCCCCTTCTGTATTGTTGAGAGAACATCTCAGATCTACCTCCATCACATTTTACGCCAGCTTTTGGTGAGGAACCTAGGTGAACAAGCCTTGCTTTTGGCTCACTCTTGTGCCGCATTACCGTATTTTCCTCATGTACTAGAACTGATGCTCCACGAAGTGCTGGAAGAAGAAGCTACCTCGCGGGATCCCATTCCCGATCCTCTCCTTCCCACTGTGGCTAAATTTATTACAGAGTTCCCCCTCTTCCTACAGACTGTTGTTCATTGTGCTAGAAAAACAGAATATGCCCTGTGGAATTATCTCTTTGCTGCTGTTGGAAATCCAAAAGACTTGTTTGAAGAGTGTTTAATGGCCCAGGATTTAGACACAGCTGCATCTTACCTTATTATTCTGCAGGTAATTGTATTCACTCATCTTATTCTGAAAGTGATATGATGTGTTAAACATGCATCCCAAAGGACACAAGCATCTTATTTTGACAGAGTCTTGTCTCTTACAAGTATATATTTATTAAATAAGGATGGAAATAAAAAAAGAGAGAGGGGGATGCTAATTATCTTTGGGAATGAAATTGTCTATTATGCAGTCATATGTAAGTACCCATATAGAGGAGCTGATTCATATAATAGGTGCCTCTAGGCCAGGGCTTTTCAACCTTTTCACCCATTGTACCACTTTTAAGGTATAGCAATATCCGAGTACCTTCAGTTGCCTAGTAAGGTGTCAAAAACTTGATGACCAAAAAAAAAAAAAAAAAGAAAAAAGAAAAAAAGTGATAAAATACAGGTAGTCCTCAATTTACAACAGTTTGCTTAGTGACTGTTCAAAGTTACAGTGGCACTGAAAAAAGTGGCCCCCAAGCCACAGCTGAGCAAGATACCTGCCTGCCCGCCTGGCGGCGCTCTTCCTCCTATCCAAGGTTTTCATTGTTGTGAGCATTTCTGTTGAGGATTGGCAGTGGGGGTGGGGTGGGGGGTATTTGGTTTTTATTCCCCCCCCCCTCTGCTGGGTGATTGCAGCAAGTTTTGGTCACTTCACATGACCCTGGGACACTGTGACCATCATAAATATGAATCAGTTGCCAAGCATCTGAATGTAAATCACAAGATCCTGGAGATGCTGCAACATTCCAGCTGATCAGCGCTTCTTTTGGGCTCAGCAGAAGTGCCAGGATCAGGGCTGCTTTCCAGCTGATTGGTGCTTCTTCAGGGCTCAGCAGAAGCGCCAGGATCAGCGCCAAGCTCCAGCTAGAGCCTGGCACTGATTCTGGCGCTTTCACTGAGCCCTGACAGCCCCGAAGAAGTGATCCTGGTGCTTCTGCTGAGCCCTGACAGCCCTGCAGCTCCAGCCATCTCTCACTCAGGCTTGTGCGGTGCTGCCACTGGTTCAGCTCATTCCCCTCCCCCGCTACCACTTTTCTAGGATGGTCGCGTACCACCTGCCAGGTGCCAATGTACCACAGGTGATACCCGTACCACTGGTTGAAAAGCCCTGCTCTAGGCCATTTCCAGTTAGCAGTCCTATCATAGTCATGGACAGTAAAATCATGGGCCATAATTATTGGACTTGGACAATGAAATGAAAGGTGTGAAGTCTGATGCATGCGTTTATCTGCAGCCTTTCTTGTTTGCTTATTGTTTTGCTAAATAAAAAGGATCAGTGGCTTCTGTGTAAAAAGTGGTTTATATTGGTTCCAGAATATGGAAGTTCCAGCAGTTAGTAGGCAGCATGCAACTCTGCTATTCAATACAGCTTTGGAGAAAGGAAAGTGGGATCTTTGTCGGCACATGATCAGATTTCTGAAAGCCATTGGCTCTGGAGAATCCGAAACTCCTCCTGCTACACCAACAACTCAGGTTTGAAAGGCACATGATTGCTTTATCATAAATGTCTTTGACAGTAATCCAGATATAAATTTGGGGGAAAAAATGTTAAACTCACATGGAACTTGCTAACTGTCCAGTTATCAGATACATGGATTAATAAATGGATTCTAATCATACACTAAACCATAGTCCTTTTTATTAATGAATGACTGTATGTGAACATGATTATTTGATGGTTAAGGATAACTAGAACTTGTAACCCTTATTTGGCATCTTAAGCAAAGGGTCCGTTTAGCTTTGCTTGTGTATAGTGTCACAAGACTAGTCTATGCGTTGTTTTAGTCCTAAAAACAAGTATGGTAAAAGCATTGTGAATCAAATTTTGATTTTGTAAATCAAAATGACTCCATCAATCCACATCATGCTACTGCTTTTGCCATTTCTAGCTTGTTACTTTAAATTCCTTTAAAAGGAAGTTGGGTGGTCAGGTATTTTGATCAAAGGGAATAGGGGGAAAGAGTCATATTTTCAAACTTTAGCATAGCACTTTCAGTATCAGCAGAATCACTATTTGCTAGCAGTTGTGCTTTGATGTCTGCAATCTGCAAGATGTCCAAGCTAGGCCTATGCTTTTTTGCTAACAAATGACAAGATGCCTGGACAGAGGGTTTTTTCTCTTAAGCTATTTGATTTTAAAAGTTATAGGCCTTTTTTTAACAAATAATCAAATATAGCATTAAGCCTGTCTGAAGGAGTAGCCCACCTTAATGTCATAATATAAAAAGAAAGCAAAAAAGTTACTATTATCTAAAATGTTTTGAAGTCATTATAAGTAAATGGATATTTTTTTCAGGGAGCATCTGTTTGATGGAGGATTTCTTGAATAGTTCACTATTGTGAAATTCATTAGAAATATTTATTTCACCATAAAACCTACTCTCAGCTTTTCTAGTTTTCAGCCAGTTGGCTCTTTGCTTTAAATTTAATATAATCAATTTAGACACTGCCTAACTCTAATCAATTCTCCAACCTGTCTAATCCCTTTCTTCCATGTAGGAACCTACTTCAAGTGGTGGCTTTGAATTCTTCAGACATCGCAGTATTAGCTTGTCTCAATCTGGAGAGACACTTCCAGCTGGCAAATTTAACTTGCAAAAAACCTTGAGCATGCCATCTGGCCCGTCTGGGAAAAGGTAATCAAGTAGAAGAGAATATACGATTCTTGCTATACCAGGGATAGGCAACCCAAAACACTCAAAGAGCCACTTGGACCCGTTTCCCACCAAAAACAAAACACCGGGAGCCACAAAACCCTTTTGATTTCTAAAATGAAGATAACACTGCATATATCTTTTTTTACCTTTATTATAGGTGTGTGTGTGTGTGTGTTTGTGTGTGTGTACACACACACACACACACACACACACACACACACATTAAAAATAAAAGTAAAAATATGACTCTTGGGAATATCCATACTATTAAAACAATGATCACCAAGAGAATGCTTTAATGCTTTAAGAGAATAAAATTACATACACACACAGGTAAAAAAAGGATATATGCAGTGTTATCTTCATTTTAGATGTCAAAAGGGTCTCTCTCTCTCTCTCTCTGTCTCTCTCCCTCCCTCCCTCTCTATCTGCCCTTGGTCTGCCACTCCTCTTCCCTCACTCTCTTTCTTTCTCAATCTCTTTCCTTTCTCTCTCTCTCTCTCTCTCCCCCCCTCCCTCTCTCTCTCCCTTTCTCTCTCTCTCTTTCTACCCCCCCTCCTATCTGATGCTCACCTGGCAAGCTTCAAGCTGTTGTCCAACAAGCTCAGGGGTAAGCAACCTCGTCTCTTTTATGACTCATGGACTTCAACTCCCAGAATTCCTGAGTCAGCCTAGCTGGGCTAGCTAGCTCTCTCCTGCCCTTCCTGCTTCCTGCTTCCTGCAGAGATGCAGCAAAGGGAGGAGCTCCGCCCAGTAAGCTTTTCAGCTCCTCGGAGAACACTGTGAGTGCACTCTCTTTTATACACAGAGAAAGAGAGAGAGAGAGAGAGAGAGAGAGAGAGAGAGAGAGAGGGAAGCAGGGAAGCGCAATTGCCTCTCTCTGTCTCTGTCTCTTTCTGCAAAGGCAGAGGAGGCTGGGAGCCACAGGGGAAGGCTCAAAGAGCCGCATGCGGCTCCGGAGCCGCAGTTGCCGACCTGTGTGCTATGCCTTTCATTGCATCAAGCCTATATGTATTAAATTACAGAGATTATGCTATAGTACTTACTTTATTTGATGCTGAAATTTCACAATCTCCAACATGATTCCTAGAAAATTCGGCCAAGTCAACAAATAAAATAAAAGTATGTTTTTGGCGTTAACCTCCTTGTTTCCTATCTTTGTAGATTGAGTAAGGAAAGTGATTGTGCTGAGAACATGTATATTGACATGATGTTGTGGAGACATGCTCGACGTCTTCTGGAAGAAATCAGGCTTAAGGATCTTGGTTGTTTTGCTGCGCAGCTGGGCTTTGAGTTGATAGGCTGGTTGTGCAAAGAGCGTAACCGAGCTGCCCATGTGGACGATTTTGTGACTGCCTTGAAGAAATTACACAATGATTTTCTTTGGCCATTTCCCATTATCCCAGTGTGCTCCATAAATTCACCTCTGAAGAATGGAAAATGTAGGACAGGTATCTTATCCTTACTCTCGTTTAATTTATCAGAAACTAAATGTAGCTTTAGAGTAAATGGAAGTTTACAGTGCAATTACCTTTCATTTTGTGTTTTCAGACATTACGTGATTATTTTCATAGTTGTATATAAAGCCATTGTTGGTACTACCATAGAGGGAAATATAGCAGGCATTTTGAATTCATGTTATGCTGCACATTAGCACATTAAAATTAAACATGTTTAATTCAGTCTTTGAAATTAAACTATTTAAACAAAGAATAAAAACATATAGCAAGTAATTGTTGGAAGAGGATACTATCTACCTGATGAATGTTACAGTTAAAGTGTTCATAGGAAAGAAAATAAGTGGGTTTGGTTTCATTGTGTGCAGGTTACACTGTGTGTGGCTTTATTAATCTATACTGAAGCTCACAGTAGATATCCTGAAATACTAGGAGTTGGTTATAAGTCCTTGAAATGAATTAGGCTTGAAATATTAAATAGCATGTTTAAGGCTATTCCCATGCTTTCATTTCCAGTAATAGGTGAACAACTCTTAAAATCACAGTCTGCTGACAGCTTTTTAAACATGGAAATAGACAGTGGCCTCCCAGATGTACCAAGGAGTCATAGCTGGTTTGGTGCCATCAGCTCCTCCCAAAGAGAGATGGACACAGCATCCTCCCACGGCCCTCAAATGCAGGAGGCATTTCTCTCACCTTTGTTAAGTAAAGTGGGTGAGTTCTTTATTCTGATATTTGGCTTTCTTTTAGGTGATCGTGGGTGTCTTATCTGAAAATAAAAATATACTTTTCATATATAACAATGGCCATGTGCTTCTTCGTCTTTCTTGGGAATAATGCAGAAGGTAAAGGATTCAATAGCAGAGGAAAAAACAAACCAATAATATGTTCATATTTGGAATGAATTCAAAATAGGAATTGTATTGGCAGCAGCAATCTAGAACTTCATCACAAGATAGCATATGTACATGTATAGTGACCATGCTAGTCTCTTTTGGAGTAAGCAAGAACAAGAATAATAAATATTAAATTGAAAAAAAGTTTACTTATATCCCACCTTTATTATTTTTATAAACAACCCAAGGTGGTCAACATACCTAATCCTCCTTCCTCCTCCTATTTTCCCCATAACAACAATCCTGTGAGATTGGTTGAACAAAGAGTGAGTAACTGGCCCAAACTCACCCAGCTGGTTTTCAGGTCTAAGGAGGGACTAGAACTCACCATATCCTGGTTTCCAGCCTGGTGCCCTAACTACTAGAACGAGCTGTCTTGTTCAAATCAACATCATTCAGTATAACTGTCCTTATGTGTCTGTCCTTATAAACTATGACCAAACTTCTTAACCTGTTGTTCTTAAGGAATTCATTAAGCACAACCTCCTGAAAGCCCTCTTACTCTCAACAAGTTTTGTATATTTGCTTTGCTATTAGATTCACATTCATTCTCTCTGTACAGATAGTCCTTCCTTGACAGAGGTACTTGGAACCGGCAACTCCGCTACTAAGCAGCGTGGTCATAAAATACAATGTCATGTGACTGTATCCTCTTAAGGTGGCAGTTGAAATTACAGTTATTAAGCAAATCTCACACAGTCGTTGGGTGTGACGTCACGTGATTGCCATTTGCGACCTGCCAGCTTCTCCATTGACTTTTGTTGGAAGCTGGCAGTGAAAGTCACACATGGTGATCTTCTGACTGAGGGACACATAGCCATTGTTATTGCAAGTCGATTGCCAAGTGCCTGAATCTTGATCCTCTGACCAAGAGATGCTACAATGACCACAACTACAAGGAACAGTTGCAAGTCTCATTCAACACCACCGTAACTTCAAATAGTTGTTGAACGAGCATTTGTTAAAAGAGGACTACCTATATGACTAACTTAGTTTGTACTCAGTTCACTGTTATTCAGCACCAACTCATTCTTATCCTATCTCTTGTTTTACGGCATCCACTTCTTAAGTATCCCATATCACAGTCATACCTACAATAATTCTCATTTCCATTTTGCACGTTGGGGAGATTCATGCTCTAAGTACACAACTATTTTACCTTTTTTTCCTTGCAACAGAAAACATGCCGCCCTCAGCCTTTCTTCTGGCATTTACATATTTTAAATTTTGTTTCTCCATTTCCCCTTCCTTAGTAAAGTCATTTATTTGCTGCTATTTGGGCTATTTATGTATACTTTATGATTGTTCACTCAGTTTTCCAAGTGAAACACAACTTGTTTTGTTCCCTTAATTTTTTGAGGTACAAACACTTTCGTGCATCACACAGATTAGTGTTCACTGCAGATGTGGTACTTGATAACATGACATCTACATACAAAACTACATACAGGTTTCATGCTTTTTAACATTCCACAAGCATTCTCATACATTTATCCATAAAATATTAAAGAGCCAAAGGTACACTACTATATACTGCTGAGATGCAGTTTTTCGCACACTTTAAATAAGACACAGAGAAACCAAAACATCTATATTTGTTTTGCTATATTTGACAGGTGACGAGGGGAGCATTGGCTCTGCCACGGACCTGACAGAAACAAGCTCTATTGTGGATGGAGACTGGACTATGGTGGATGAAAATTATTCCACCTTGAGTCTGACGCAATCTGAATTGGAACATATCTCTTTGGAGCTGGCCAGCAAAGGGCCACACAAATCACAAGTTCAGCTGCGGTAAATAAAATGCGAATTTGTGTCATCATTGGGATTCCTTTGAGTTGTTCTTAGAGGATGTGGACTAAGGATAATATCCTGTGGGGAAAACGGGATATTTCTTTGCCTTAGAAAGTGCCTTTGGGTCTTTTTGTAGGTATTTGCTTCATATTTTCATGGAAGCAGGATGCCTGGACTGGTGCATGGTCATAGGCCTCATCCTTCGAGAATCCTCAGTCGTCAATCAAGTGTTTAGTCTAGCGCAGTCTTCAGAGGTCGATGGGGAGATGTTGCAGAACATTAAGACAGGACTGCAGGCAGTAGAAAGCTGGGCTTCTGTAGACTGGTGAGTCGCATGAACCTCCTTTCACTATACATATGATCTAAGTTACTTTTCTAGGATACAACAGTAAACAAAGAAATAATACTGTTTAACTTATTCAAAACCGTAAACTGTTTGAGGAAGGTATTCTATATGTTGAAACAGTGAGGGAAAAAAATATTTGATCCCTTGCTGATTTTGTACGTTAGCCCATTGACAAAGAAATGATCAGTCTATAATTTTAATGGTAGGTTTGTTTTAACAGAGACAGAGTAACAACAACAAAAAATCCAGAAAAGCACATTTCAAAAAATTATAAATTGATTTGCATTTTAATGAGTGAAATAAGTATTTGATCCCCTCTCAATGAGTAAGATTTCTGGCTCCCAAGTGTCTTTTATACAGGTAATGAGCTGAGATTAAGAGCACTCTCTTAAAGAGAGTGCACCTAATCTCGACCTGTTACCTATATAAAAGACACCTGTTCACAGAAGCAGTCAGTCAAATCAGATTCCAAACTCTCCACCCTGGCCGAGACCAAAGAGCTGTCCAAAGATGTCAGGGACAAGATTGTAGATCTACGCAAGGCTGGAATGGGCTACAAGACCATCTCCAAGCAGCTTGGTGAGAAGGTGACAACAGTTGGTGCGATTATTCTCAAATGGAAGAAATACAAAATAACTGTCAATCTCCCTCAGTCTGGGGCTCCATGCAAGATCTCACCTTGTGGAGTTTCAGTGATCATGAGAACGGTGAGGAATCAGCCCAGAACCACATAGGAGGATCTTGTCAATGATCTCAAGCAGCTGGGACCATAGTCACCAAGAAAACATTTGGTAACACACTACGCTGTGAAGGACTGAAATCCTGCAGTACCCGCAAGGTCCCCCTGCTCAAGAAAGCACGTGTACAGGCCTGTCTGAAATTTGCCAGTGAACATCTGAGTGATTCAGAGGAGAACTGGGTGAAAGAGTTGTGGTCAGATGAGACCAAAATCTAGCTCTTTGGCATCAAATCAACTCGCCGTGTTTGGAGGAGGAGAAATGCTGCCTATGAACCCAAGAACACCATCCCCACTGTCAAACATGGAGGTGGAAACAGTATGCTTTGGGGATGTTTTTCTGCCAAGGGGACAGGACAACTTCACCGCATCAAAGGGACGATGGACGGGGCCATGTACCATGAAGTTTTGGGTGAGAACCTCCTTCCCTCAGCCAGGGCCTTGAAAATGGGTCATGGGAGTGACCCAAAACACACGGCCAAGTCAACAAAGGAGTGGCTCAAGAAGAAGCGCATTAAGGTCCTGGAGTGGCCTAGCCAGTCTCCAGACCATAATCCCATAGAAAATCTGTTGAGGAAGCTAAAGGTTCAAGTTGCCAAACGTCAGCCTTGAAACCTTAATGACTTGGAGAGGATCTGCAAAGAGGCGTGGGACAAAATCCCTCCTGAGATGTGTGCAAACCTGATGGCCAACTACAAGAAACATCTGACCTCTGTGATTGCCAACAAGGGTTTTGCCACCAAGTACTAAGTCAGGTTTTGCGAAGGGGTCAAATACTTATTTCATTCATTAAAATGCATATCAATTTATAACTTTTGTGAAATGCATTTTTCTGGATATTTTTGGTTGTTATTCTGTTTCTCACTGTTAAAATAAACCTACCATTAAAATTATAGACTGATAATTTCCTTCTCTGTGGGCAAAAGTACAAAATCAGCAGGAGATCAAATAATTTTTTCCCTCACTGTAATACCTGGTATAATTTATCTATGGAATTATTTTGTAACTGCTGACTTTTCCTATTAATACATTTTACAAGAGTTCTTATTTCAACATTTGAAGATGTGTAATGTGAACAGAGAAGTATGCATCCAATGATATGCATGGTATCTTGAATGAGCATAATTCTCATAGTAAAGCAGTAGGTTGCAATACCTAACTATGGCTAGGAAGCTCCAGGACAGTAGATTAAATAGGACGAAAAGCAAGAACCATCTCCGCCAGATAAAAGCATTGAAAAACCACTTGCAGGTTGACATAAAAAAACAAAAATAAGTATAGAAACCAAGATCAGTTTTAGTGAAAATTTGAACACCGTATATATTTTCATTGTGCAAAGGGCATCCACCTGTTGAGTTGGCTTAGTACACCGAGTTAATAACCAGAGAAAGACAGTTGCTGAATTTGCAGTTTTAAAATGTTTGAACTAATTACTTATTTTCTTTTCTTACGTTCTTTAGTCCTGGCTATAAGCCATTTTTAACCATTATCAAGCCACAACTGCAGAAACTGAGTGAGATATCAGAGGAACAGGTGCCACTGGAAGTCTTTCAGCCTACAAATCTATCAAGGGTGGCTGAACAAGCCAGTCCAAGGGTGGAAGAGAACCGGATTTCAGCTAACCACAGCGCTAGCCCTCAAAATGAGGCTGGTCCTAATACTTCAATTCGACATGATGAGGACATGCTTGGACTGGAGAAGGAAGACCATCCCCTTCAGGAAGGCAGTTATGATTGTACTGTCTCCTGACAGAATCAGACATGATAACTGTTTTAGTAAAGCTTCGTAATGATGGCATTGAAGAATACGGCTATTGGAAGGAAGTACAGTAATCACTTTTTTCCAAAACATATGTTTAGTTTTGCTTTACTTTGTTTTTGTTTTTAATGAATACTTCTTTTTACATGTGATGACTAGAGAATCTCCTTGAATTTGTGAATGCTTTCCCAGTAACTTCCTCAATTCTTTCGTTTATCTGATTCTATGAAAAACAGCAATATTCTGCTGTATTCCAAGAAGATTTATTTGAAGCTCTTGTAAGCTCTTTTTCCTTAATCATGCAGAACACCTACTCTATATCAGTGTATATGATCTTTATTGCATTTTTTTAAAATGAAAGAAAAAAAACTTGGAGACAATTCTAAAATTTACCCATCTGCACCATCCCCAACCCAGTTTTTGAACCAAAACTTGAACAAGTTGACAATGAAGCTTGCTCAGATGAAATGTTGATGCATTCTGTGTAGTTTAATTGCCTAAAGGAAATGATGGCCTGATTAAGCTAAATTCTGTTCTATAAATTATGCAGGTATCAGAAATTTGACATCACCAAATATTATATATTAAAGGTTGTAAAATACATTGTATCTTTTGTGAATACTCTTATATATTTTCAATATACTGTTTTTGCTTTTGGCTTTGCTCCACAGTGTAGGGTAGCTTTATCTATCTTGCATGTTTGTACTTTTAACTGCAGAAAAACTAAAAGTAAAGTTGCACTTCAATCAGAATGCAACTGATTTTTCATCTGGCATTAGTTGCAGTTTCATTTCGTCATTTAGTCTGTTCAGATCCATTCTGAACAAAAAGATTTTAAACGAATTACTGAATTCTTATTTATTTCAATTGTAAAGATGCTTTTCTCAAGATTATTTTTGTGTAAATAAAACCACTTTATATATTACTGCTATTAAGACTTTGTAATGGCAATGTACAGTGTATATATATATAAACCACCATCTTGCTAATATTTTATAATGCATATACTTGTAACTAAAAAATGTTTATTTTAACTTTCATACAACAATATTATGAAAAACTGGCTGCAGCAGAATCTCATGTTTGCTTGAGGTACTTATTTTTTCAATCTGCTGACTCCAGATTGGTATTATAAATACTGATGTGTAATATTAAATACCTGTAACAGTATTAAAATTTAAATATTGTTTGGCTTGTACTGTGCAGTTGGGAAAAATGCAGCACTACTACTTTTTCTACAGAAACCTAATACTTATTTTTATAATAAGGGTGTAATTAATACATACATGGACCAAAATCATTTATCTTTTAGGTAGTATGAGAATCAGCATCAGCCACAGTCATAGTTCATGAAATACTCTATGCGAATTCTGAATGAATATATTATGAACAGTCAAAAATATTGCTTCCTAACCTTAGCAAATTGAAGGTGGGTGGTCTTCAACTCCCAGAATTCTCAGCAATGGTTGCTGGAAATTGCCACGGTTGGAAAACCTGGTTAAGAGGGTCAAGAAAAATACTGGTTATGACTTTATATATTTGCTTAGAAAGGCATGGTCATGTCTTTTTATTGATAAATGTAATTAGACAGATTTTATTGCTGTTGTATAACCTTCACCATTGGTAAGACTATAAGTAGTGGTACATGTGCAATAACTTTTAAATAAAATATAAAGGGGTGGAAATGACCTAACTTTTCCATACTTCTGACATTGTATTTTGTCTACCATCATGGGTGCAAAAATTGTCATTTTTCTTACATCAGAAAAAAGAGACACTACTTTTCTATACTGTAGTATTGAACATATTAATAGCTATTGCCACCACAGCCTTAAGCACTACACTGCTGTGGTTCCAGCCTAAGCAGCATTTTTTTATAACAGCATTCATCACATGCATTATCTCCAGTGCTCTTAATTCTGTTACTCCTAATAAGCCCTTTTCACACCTCTACAATGGGGACATCTTCCTACTTTGGAACTTAAGCTGGTTCCTATGTTATTAGATACCTGCATTAGAAAATGGATGCCACCCTGAAAGCAGAAATATCCCCAACTGACCAGCATTTCCCTCTGAATAAACTGCATAATACTATTAAAATTGAAGGGTTTAAATAGTTCAATTGATGATAAGTATAGGAAGAAAGACATTCCATGTTCAGTGTGCAGCAGATCTAAAATTGTATAGGAAGGGCTACTTGAGCCACTTGCTAAAGCTCCAGTTCAAGAGGAATTCCCATTAGTCTCCTTCATTGGTATAGGTGATCATACAAGAAGCGTCTTCTCCAGTTTAAGGCAGAAACTGAATCACAGTTGTTTTTTTTATAGTGGAATGAAATCTGCACACTCAAACAATTCTGCTGGACTTCAAAGCAACAGGGTTTTAAAACACAATTCTTCCTGTTGCTAGGAGACAATGCAGTAGAGCTTGTTTGGTTTTTGCATCTGCTTTCTCTCCAAGCAACCAAATGATGAGAATGGGAAGAGATTCCATTTACCTAATAGATGAAGCAGTAAAGAATTTTCACCTAAATCTGATGGAAGAAGTCGCTGTAGCATGCATATTACTTACTTTGTTGAGGAAAGAATTGCCATTGATTGAAAGAATACAACTGCCTGGTCTAGTAAGGAGGTAGTGGAATGAGACAACTCACCACAGGATACCTGGCTGCAGGACAATTTAACAATTCAACTATTTAAAATAAATAAAATATTTAAATTTTTGTCATTCACATTGCATTCTGTTCCTCTTTTTGAATCCTTTCTTTAATGATTCTATTCCATCATTTCTTTGATTGTCCCGCAGCGAGTTGTTCCCACAGCGAGTCGGTCATGACGAGTTGTCCTGCAGTGAGTTGGCTGCAGCAACTTGGCTGTGGCAAGCTGGTTGTGGCGAGTTGGCCATGACAAGTTGGCTGAGGCGAATTGTCACAGACCAAGGTGGTACAATTATTCAAAGTAGGGAACACCCTCCTTTCAGCTGACTTCAAAACTGAGTGCTGCATTGAAGAACTATGTGATTCAAAATCTTACTGGCAGAGCACTTGCCATTCTGCAATTTTACCAGACGGCTATTGCAAGAAGGAAAAAAAAAGGGGGGGTATGGTCTCTTTCCACAAGCCACTCTTATTCTCTGTCCTAGTTGGTAACAGCCATGTGAGCAGTTTGAAATTGAAATTTAGGAGGGGAACTGAATATTCATATACTTTTATGTCTTCCCTCTAGTACAGTGGTTCTCAACCTGTGGGTCGGGACCCCATTTGGGGTCGAACAACCATTTCATGGGGGTCGCCAAACAGCGCAGTCCGCCATTTTTTTCCCCCTTTTCCTTAGCTGTGCTACTCCCTTTTATTCTATTGGCTTTTGAAAGCCAATAGAATAGACTCTCTTGAATAGAGTCTAATTCTATTGGCTTTCAAAAGCCAATAGGAATTGTCCAGGCTGTCTCTGCCCTGCTGAGCCCGCCATTCCCATTCTGCAAACGGTGCTGCACCAGTTGAGTAGTCCTCAACTTACGACCGGTTGGGGGTCGCGGCATTAAAAAGGTTGAGAACCACTGCTCTAGTAGACAATAAATCTTCAGTGAAGTGGCAACTCAACAATCTGAATTTCTTCAATATTTGAATTTCTCAATCTCCAGTCATCTACCTTATATTTCTCTTCCTTCCCAACTAATTTTCTTAAATGTCCATTTGATAATGATCACCTGATTTCTCCCTGCACTCTGATTCTTTTTATCTAAACTAGTCTCACTTTGCTTCCAAATTCCTAGTGTATTCACTGTTTTAATCTGCTACTAACACGTTACTGTTCTTACAAATATATTGTGATCTTGCTGCCAAACTGAACTATCTCACATTTTGAGCTTGACCTGTTCGCTGCCTCCGATATAGTGACTCACAGTTGCTGCAGAATCCTTCTGCAGGGGTGTTAAACTGCCGGCCCGTGGGCTGGATGCATCGTAGTGAAACCATGCCCACCCCATTGTCAGCAATGGCAAAAAAGTCGCGATACGTCACGACACGTCATGTGACGTTTGCTAGTTTGACACTCTTGCCTTAAGATCTCAGGTTTCATGACAAAGCTCCTTGCTGGGTTTTTTTTTGCTGCTCTCCAATTCAATTATTTAATGCTTCCATTGTTTATTATTTCTGTACCTTTGTCTTGTCTCTCTGTAGATATCATTCCCTGCTCAACTCTATTGTCTCCTCTCCTCCAAAACAAGTAGTCTTCAAATGGATTCCTGTGCATATTTGTTTTTCTCTCCACAAATAGAACACAAGTATACAGGGTCATCATTTTCTCTCCAAAACCAATTATCATAGTTTTGGGAATCCCTATATTAAATATGGGCTAAGTAACTTTAGGCCAATCACGCTTTCTCAGCTTTGCTTACCTCACAGGGTTGTTGTGGGGAAAATAAGGAAGAGGGAGCTGTGTTGGATGTATTCAGCATCTTTAATTTCTTATAAAATAAAAAAGATGGAATAATAAACTCAAATAAATGCATGCAGCCATTTGTCCCTTCCATCCCTACATGCCCTCTTCCTTCATATAGATCTAGCTGTCTTAGTTGCCATATGTGTAGGTAGTGCTGAAGATGTTTTTTTTCCCAACATCAATTGAAAAACTGAGAATTGAAGTCCACAAGTCTTAAAGTTGTCAAGGTTGGAGACCTCTGGTCCATTACATACAAGGAATCTAAAACTACATTTTCATCATTATTTCTCAACCTTGGCAGTTTTAACATGTATGAACCTCAACTCCCTGAATTCCTCAGTGAGCATGCTGGGGAATTAACACAAACCTAAAGCCACTGACATTAAGAAATGCAATATTAACACACCATTTATAAAGATTCATTAAGTCAGCAAACAATTTACAATACAGAAAACTTTCCATTTTTTTCCCCAAATTCATGCTAAAATTCAGAATTTTAAAATGTAGCATGCTTTTTAGAAACTAAAAAAGTACATTATAAATAAACACAGCAGAGTCAGTAACAATAAATGTGATGAAATATCTTTGTTAAAATACAGGAATTCACAGAAAAAAAGATGCATACTATTTGTGCTATCTTAACATTCAAACGGTTAGTGCACTTTTTACATGCATTTGCAAAAGATATGCTCTGGTAACTCCCACATGTGCCATTACCTGGTACACATAATGTTATATTACATTACCTGGATGTATTGATATATGATTTCACCTTTAGTTTATTCCTTTGCCTTGGTTTGGTTGAACAAAGAAATAAGAACTAAAATCTGTCTAAAGTTCTGATAATCAAACTTTTGAGTTTTCTAATCTGGAAAGTAAGCTTCTATTGGCCAATGGGGGAAGTCACAGATTTTCAGTATAACAGGTTTTTTTTTTTCATGCTTTGCTCCTAGATATTCTTTAGTTTCATAAAGTAAAGGAGATACTTGGCCAAAAGGTGGCAGTAGCAAACTCTTTCTTATGCTTGCCAAGACATCTGTGTGGATGCGTTAAGAGAAATTTGCAGGAGTTGAGTGACTTGTTTAGTGGGTGTGCATTGGATGAATTATAATAGCTTCTGGGACTCCTTTCCCCAAACTGAGTTTGTGTTGTTGCCTTGTGCCAATTCCTTATGCCTGGAGATTTGACGGCCAGTTGTCAGGCTACATGCGAAGCATCCTTATCTAAGTAATATGTACATCCACCAGAGAAATTCTGGGCCTGAATTCCAAGCTCTTAATATGGGGATAGTCTTGAATCACTCAGAATACTGGCAAGGGTTCCTGGACTCCACTGTTACCTGACTTTCCTGAATCCTGAATATGGAACATGAATTCTAAGGGACAAGGTTTCTTTTAGTGATTATAGAAGGAAACTTCTTGGCCAAATTACTGTGCACCCTGCCAGCCTTCATGTGTAACTTCAGTGAGTGTTTTCTCAAACATCTATATTTGTTTTGCTGTATTTGACAGGTGATGAGGGGAGCACTGGCTCCGTCACGGAGCTGACAGAAACAAACTATTGTGGATGGAGACTGGACTATGGTGGATGAAAATTATTCTACCTTGAGTCTGACACAATCTGAATTGGAACATATCTCTTTGGAGCTAGCCAGCAAAGGGCCACACAAATCACAAGTTCAGCTGCAGTAAATGAAATGGGAGTTTGTATCATCATTGGGATTCCTTTGAGTTGTTCTTAGAGGATGGGGACCAAGGATAATACCCTGTGGGGAAAACGGAATATTTCTTTGCCTTAGAAAGTGCCTTTGGGTCTTTTTGTAGGTATTTGCTTCATATTTTCATGGAAGCAGGATGCCTGGACTGGTGCATGGTCATAGGCCTCATCCTTCGAGAATCCTCAGTCGTCAATCAAGTGTTTAGTCTAGTGCAGTCTTCAGAGGTTAATGGGGAGAAGTTGTAGAACATTGAGACAGGACTGCAGGCAGTAGAAAGCTGGGCTTCTGTAGACTGGTGAGTTGAACCTACTTTCACTTTATACCGGTTATGTCCAAATGAAAAAGAGCTCCTTTTCTAGGAAGTGTAGTGTTTTAAATGGAAGACATAGCAAAAATTGATAATGTTTAATCTCTTGAAAGAAGTAACTCTGTATATTGAAAGGTAATGTCTGGTTTAACAGGTTTTAATATATTGTGGAATCTTATTATAACTGACTTCTTATTTAAATTGTTGAATTTCAATGACCCACAATAAAAGATATATCCTGAATTAGTCAATGTTGTTTTTCTTCTAAACACAATTATTTTAAAAGAAAATTGTTTTCTTGAAGTTTCTAATATGTTCTTGGATATTTAGGCGTACAGCATGTACCGTATATTCTGGCGTATAAGGCGACTCGACGTATAAGACGACCCCCGACTTCGGCACTGATTTTAACGCTTGCGAAAGTCGTCTTATACGCCGGAAAGTACGGTATATACATCACACAGTTTATAGACATAATATAATTTGCTTGATAAGTGCCTATTGATACTTATTTTACAACATTCTCCTGTTATGTTTCTTGGTTAATTAAGGCCAAATGGCATATTGAACAAATACACAAGTTGATTATCTGAGTGTCCCACACAATTTATTGTGCTCTTTTAACATGATAATCTAAATTTCCATCCCATTAACAATTCTGAGACAAAGGCACTTTTTTCATCAAAGTCATAAATTCTACCACACATTATAGAGTGGAACATTTTTGTAACTAGCTTGTGAGTTAAAATTACCAATATATTCTAAGAAACTTAATCAGTGTAAGTCAATATTTATCTGATTTACAACTGCAAATAATTTTTAGACTATTGTGCCAAATGTTAAAGCTTTAAAATGTTGAAAAACTACTTCCAAATAAATGAATACATTCATTTATCACATTTACTTGGAAGTAAATGTGAACAAATCCCATATCAAATTTTGAGTGATTGTAAACTAGATGTTACCTCTGTTGCTCTTATCATATTTATTACTTTCTGCCATATACAATTTAGTATCCTGTGATCTGATACACTAGCAGCAATGTAACAGATTCCATTATGAATTTCAAGAACTGCATAAGATACCACTGCAACTTAACTAGGTAATCAAGATGCTTACAGAACATTGCTTTTTTTACTTCAAATAGTAACAGCACCTTCCTTAATTTCATCTCCAATAATATTGCAGCAACTCTCTAAATTCCTGACAGCACGGCCTCAAAGGCTGCAGATTATGGAAATTGAAATTTAAAAGGAAGGCTCAAGATGGTACCTGGAACATTGCTGAGATTTTGGCTTTACAATTTTTAACAATGAAGAACAGTCCAGTCTATAATGATGATGTTCTTATTAATAGAATAAGCGTACACACAAATTAATTACTAGAATTATAGTCAATTCAGGTGTTCACCTCAGCAGCTATTAACTGACCCATTTCCAAATGCCTTTCTGTAGACCTTTTTAAAGAGTTTTTATAGCTCTCTGAAAATGTTGTAAGGCAGTGTTTCTCAACCTTGACAAATTTAAGGCATGTGGACTTCAACTCCCAGAATTCCGCAGCCAGCAATGCTGGCTGTGGAATTCTGGGAGTTGAAGTCCACATGCCTTAAAATTGTCAAGGTTGAGAAACACTGTTGTAAGGGATTATCTGGCTATTCAGGGTAAGCTGATATAAAAAAGGAGAGTCAGCACTGACATGTTTCAAACTGGGGAATTGCTGGGGAATTCTAGGAGTTGAAGTCCATCCATTTTAAAGTTGCTAAGGTTGGGAAACACTGCCCTAGATGATAAGAACCTCTTTCTCTCTTATTAGCTCAATCAGAGGCAACCTGAATAAGATAGGCAGATTTCCAGGCCCTGAGTCTGGACATTTTAAAAGTGTCAAATAGGGATTTGAACTAAATTCAGAAGCCAAATGGCAGCCAATGCAGTTCCCAAATGGTTACATTGCATCCATAACTACTTAAGCTGCTGCATTTACCAGGAACTCTTCTGTCACTTTACTCCTTTTCTTAAGTTTTTTGTTTTTATTTTTGGGATGCTTTCAAGTCCCTGAAGTTTTCTTGGCAGGGTTTCAGAAGCAGTTTTCAATATTTAAGTCTTCAGGGAGAGACCGGCTTAAGGTCACCCAGCTGGCTTTGTGCCTAAAGTATCTGTGATGACCCAGGGCACAGCCCAGAGGCAATGGAAGTCAGCTGGCAATTCAGTTTTTATTGCTCCAAATTTTCCCCAAATGCTCCCATGTTTGCTGGCAAGCCTCCAACAAAATAACACACAGACCCCTTCAGCCGACTCTGGCTGAAAGTAGGTTCAAATACAGTCTGATTAGCATAAGAAAGTACTCAAGGCCATAGAGATAACAAGGAAGAAAACATAAACTCAACAAGTCTGTTTGAATCCTAGCTTGCCTGAGCAGGTTTCAAAAGAGAGAATCTGAAATACAGTCCGAGGGTCTTTAAACATTCAAGTAACGTGGTCAGTCAATCCAATAGTTCGAGTTTCCAGGTTTCCAAACAGAAGTCACAGAACAAGAGATCAGCAACAATACACAACACTCCAAGAATCAGCGTTTGTTCCCAACAAATGCCCTTCCCCACAGCGTCTCCTTAAATCTCAATCTCCAGATGTTTCTTATGGAGAAGGGCGGGATGCTCTCCTCCCGAGTAATTGAGTTGTTCCCTTCTTCTCTCCACTCTCTGTGCTCTAGGATCAGGTGGGGGTGGCCCTTGCTCATCGCCTGAACTCTGCCTCTCTTGTTCCTCCTGTTCCAATCTTGAAGGGCCCTGGCCTGCCTCAGCCTGCTCTTCCCCACATTCTCCCTCAGCCTCCATAGGGTCCTGTTCCAGTTCATTTTCCTCCGCAGATTCAGGCTTAGACGGAGGCATGACAGTATCTTTCAAGTTACGATATAATAAAATAATTTATTATTATTAAAAAAAATTTTTTCTAAAATGAATGCACAGAGGAGAAAATGCAATGAATCAAATGGCTAGGGTAGCTTCCATCTGATACCTTTTTTTAAATAAAGATTTACATGGTATCTCTCCAAAATTCGAGAATCTCCTAAATTGATAGGGTCAGATCCCAATTTCTATCCCTCCTTTCTCTCTTACCAAAATGGTTTACCCGAGGTTTCTAATCTTTGAACACTGTTCAGTTTTCTTGATGTAGGGTACTAAGCGAGCAACTGTATAGCAGAAGGAAGAGCCAGATCTGGGCTCATCCAACCCATATTCTATAGAACGTGGATGTAACCACGTTCCATCCTTCCCCTTTTTTTACTTTGAATTCCTCATAATCATTTAGCGACCATTGGATATTACAATGGTGCTAAACAAATGGTATTTGTAACCGGTTGTTGAAGTTACTGTCGTTGCAGCATTCTATGGTCATGGGATCAAAATTTGGGCAATTGGCAATCGGCCTGCATTTACAACCACAGGGGACTTCAATTCCATGCTCCTCCCTCTCTGCCTGTTTGGTCTTTAGGTCTGGAGCAGCAACGATTACAATGATAGTATTTGGGAGGTTGGAGGTCCTTCCCCAAGAATGAACCCTTTGGCCACAGAGAAAGAATGTCAGGCTGCTCTATAGCTCCAGGGATGTTCTCTCAAGGACTCCAGGATTACTGCTTTATAAAAGTCCATGAAAGAAGACAGAAAACCTTAGCACTACTCTGCAGAGAGACTCATAGCAGCTTTACAGTTCCTCGGGCTTAGGAATTGTTTATTCCTATTGCTGTGGTTTTTTTTTTTTTTACACATAGAAAAGGAATCAATAATACAACTTGATTTCCCCATAGGATTTCCTAATTTTGCAGAAAATTGCAGCTTCCAATGCAGCATAAATGACATACTCCTGAAAAAAAAATCAGGTAAACAATAAAAATAATTGTATGTAACCAGTTCAGCAATTAACTAAAGAGCATATTATCACCAAAATACAAAATGTGTGTGTGTGTGTGTGTGTGTGTGTGTGTACAGGAGACCAGAATGGTACTTAGAAGCATAGTATTAGATGCTTACACTGGATGAATAGGCAACTGTTTTGCTCATATACCGCTTGATTGCCATAGGGAAGTCAGGTAAATATGGACTTGTAAAAGAATCCAGAAAAAAAGAAGGAAAAACAGCAAAATTGGACCATGCAAACTTAAGAATTCAGTGAGACTGACCATCAAGTTTGTTGGCATTATAATTAAAAGAGCTTTACTTACATAGTGCATTCAAAACGAGTATCATTATTGCAGCAATCACCATTAACACCTCCATATTCTGCATGATAGCCTTAACAGTGCTTAATCAAAATATTTCCTTAGTCAGTAAGAACACATCAAAATATTAAGGACAAGGCAGCACGTGTTATTTAAAGGCGGTAAAGTATGTTATTTTGTGCTTGTAGTTCCAGTACAAAAGCTCCTTTTATTGCAAAAACCCAAGAACAGCTGTTCTAAAGCTACTTTCCAAAAGGTAGTTTCATGTTATAATGTCAGCAGGTGAAGGGACTATTCAAGTGGCAGAAACAGGTGTTTTTTTTTTTTTTTTTTGCATTAAACAAACACAACAAGACATCTTTTCCCAAGAGGTCTTACCAATACTGCCATTGAAATATACTTGTGACTAAATTATTCCTCATAGCTTTTTTTTTCTGTGAGTAATGCTATCTTTCCCAACTCACTCAAGCTCCCTATGAACAGAAGTGGCATCCAACAATTGAGAGATAATCGATCTTTGCGTAATTTCTAGATTAAAAGATAAACTGGTCATAGGTAGAAGTCCAGCTTAAAGGATAAATCCAGCTGGGAAATCTTTCCAGTAAAGCATGTAACAGAGATGACTTTTGATCTTCTCCAAAAAAATAATGGTTAACTATAGCAAGGGTGACCATTCCTTTCGTGGATTTGTCCGAACCCTAAAAATCAAACAGAAAAAAGCAAATAAGCTCATATCTGATTATTTGAATCCTATTCTTATTCAGCACTATGTAATGGTAGAATTCGAAGCTTGCAAAGAATAACCCAAAGAGTATAATCAGGTGAGGAAACCAAAGAAATTAAAATTTTAAAGAATTCCAAGATGCTCACTGAAATAGTGTTAAAGTGGCTGTTTCCAAAACAAAATTTTATTTAAGCCTCTAATGGGTTGCAGAAACATAATACCAAACAAATCAAATTGAAGAAACAGATTGAATTCCTGAGGCTACGTTAATTAAATTTTCTGGCGTATTGTTAAAATAATGTGAAAAATAAGAACTTTTTCCGACTGCAACCAGAAGACGGATTAGTCCTTTTTAATTCTATATCAAGGAGAAACACACTCAGTGCTTGGCTGCCCTTAAAAAGTGTCAGGAAAATGCAACTAATGGCTTGATAAGATACAGAGAATATCTTATCTGCAGAAAACTGCATTGCCTACTCATTGCCTGCAGGATACAATTTAAGGTTGTTGGTTAATGACTGCAATGAAGTTAACTAAAGTGAATTTAGAATAATAATATTGACCTGTAAAGCTCTACAGAGTTTAGGTTTTACTATCTGAGGGAGTGCGTCCATCTTTATGAAAATTATTAGAGGATGGGTTTTTAAAGACCTTCCAGAAGCTAGTATACCAGACAACGCCATCCCCTGTATAATCACTTCCAGACCAAGAAAAAAGATAAGTAACATAAATTGGGCAACTGAATATAAAACAAAATTTAACAGAATTGCTTAAATCACAGGAAGTCAAAAGTGAAGAAAGAAATAGGCTGTATGGAGGTCACCTCAGTTTATGATCAGGAGGGCATAGAATACATTTGGTCTCTGTTAAAAAAACTGAGGAAGCGAACTTTAATTCAAACATATAGAGTAGAACATCTAGATCAGGCACGTCAAACTTGCGACATCCCATGACGTTGCGCGACATATCATGACTTTTTCCCCATTGCTGGCAGTTTGGCGTGCATCCGGCCCATGGGCCGGCAGTTTGACATGCCTGATCTAGATATTCTGTTGCTTTTGTTTTGCTTATACCATTCTATATCAAAATATAATTCAGACTCTATATATCTAGATACTGTAGAAAAAGTGCTCATATTTTATAGACATAGGCAGTTTATTTGAGATGTTGCTGTTAGAAGGACACCTCTCAAGAACGTCTCTCCAGTATAAGACAAATTCTAATTTCCTCCTCTGGATTACTGTATCCATGGTAATATTAATAGTATATGCTACCCCGTTTGCATCTACTAATACAACTATGTCAGTAAGTCAATGACAGATAATTTATACACTCTTAAGTGAGTATCTGGAAACACCACACGAGTTCAATGAGCTTCAAGTAGGCAAATACAGGAGTACAGGATTAATTTCTATCTGCTGGTTTGGTATAATTGCAGGAATCTAATATTCAAGGGCATATTTGATTTAATGAATTCCTGAAATGAAAGATATAAAAATTGTCATGTCAAGGACACCTAAGGAAAAGAAAATGCATATCAAAATTAATAGCACTAGAAAAAGAGCAATTGTGTGTTAACTTCAAAGGATGAAAATGGATCAATAAGCTGTACCCAAAAGGCAAACCATTTAACAGAAGAAGAGAGGAGAATTCTAAGAAATGAATGTGATGCTTAAAGGAACAACTCACTTTCAGCTCGATCCAAAAGCGCCAGGGCCTGGCATGGAGCCCACGTGCATAATACACAAAGTAGTCTCCATTCAAACTATTAACCATAGGAGTTCCATTTCCAAGAGACCAAGTGGACAGTGTTGAACCTTGATGTAGTCGAAGATATAATGCCATGTGGCTTGAACCTGAAGCCGGTGAAAAACAAAAATTACTACATGAATTCAGAAGAAAGGGTAGTGGAGTTGCCACATTTTTTTTTCAATCTAAAGCAAATTATGCACTAAGTGCTTATTTCGATTTTCCTAATAGCCTGGGAAGGATATTTTCCTAATCTCTGGATTAATTTATGAACTATGTTTTTAAAAACATCTACGAAATTTTTAATGTGTCCTAAGAAAAGAGACTGGCACACCTGTTATAGCATAATAGAATAACAAAGCTGGAAGGGACCTTGGAGGTCTTCTAGTCCACCCCCTATTCAAGCAGGAGAACCTATACCAGGGGTAGGCAACCTTGGCTCTTTTAGGACTCGTGGACTTCAAATCCAGAATTCCTGAGCCAGCCATGGATGGCTCAGGAATTCTGGGAGTTGAAGTCCACGAGTCATAAAAGAGCCAAAGTTGCCTACCCCTACCCTATACCATTCTGGACAAATGGCTATCCAACCTCTTCTTAAAAACCTCCAGTAGTGGAGCACCCATAACTTCCTGAGGCAAGCCATTCCAATATCTAACTGTTCCATTGTAAGGAAATTTCTCCTTAATCCTAGGTTGGATATCTATCTGGTAAGTTTCCATCTGTTATTTCATGTCCTGTCCTTAAGTGCTTTGCTTATCTTAGTCAACTATTTATCATAGTTAAAAATCTATTCAGGTACAGCTTATTACAAGCATATTTATATCTGTGATATGCTGAATTCACAATGACTGGCTATCTCTGAGAACTTTGACTGAAGGTGCTTGATGTAATATCAGATAATAATTGGATAAATAATTAGACAAATTAAATAATTTGCTGTAGCTAACTAGTTGTTAAGATCCAATAATTCCCTACTAAGACTCTCAAGGCAAGGAAGGATGAGATCTCCACTCACCTATTACTTCAAAGGTTAGCTTTGTAGAATCCCATTGTGTTGGCTCTTTGGAAAGAAGCTGAAAGCGAACAGGGTTTTGGGGAGCAATTGCTGGTGCAGGAAGATACCATGTTTTCCTTTTAAAAAAGGGATTTTTTTAAAAAAAGAGTTATCAATATAATTAACTGTAAGAGTCCTTTAAAATATTTCAAATTACTGATTCGTGTTAATTCTGTTCAACAAAGTATAATATGGTGTATTAAAACCTAAAATGCAAAAGGTTACATCCTTGCATGCAAAAGAACTAAAAATGATTAGCCCTTTTAATCTTAATATTAAAATAAAAGGATAAATCTGTCAAAGTAGTGTTTGTCAGAATACTTTAAAAACAACAACCCCACCCTTGTTTATCAGATTTCCAGGAAATAATGACAAAACAGTCAAAGTTTTGCTCAAAGCTGAAAGCTTTCGCAAAGCAGAATGACAAGATTCTGCACTATTACACAGAGATAGGAATAACTCTGATAGTCTTGCTGACAGATGAAGCCAAGCCCGTTCAGAAAAACATTAGGATTCATTAAGACTCTTTAAACATAATTAGAAAAGGGTGCAAAAACGAAAAACACAGCCTCCAAATAGCCAGAATTCTGCTGTGTGGCACTCAGAACGTTTGTGTGTGTGTGTGTTTTCATATCAGTGTTGACTCCTGGTGACTACTTTGTTTCTTGGCGTAATTTCAGAACTGGTTGCCATTGCCTTCTTCTAGGGTTGAGAGAGAAGCATTGGCCCTAGATCAGTGGTGGCGAACCTATGGCATGGGTGCCAGAGGCGGCACTCGGAGCCCTCTCTGTGGGCACATGTGCCGTTGCCCCAGCCTTGCCTCCCCCCACGACCCCTTCCTTTCCAATAGCCCCCCTGAAGGAGTCGCCCCCAAGCGTGGCCCACGTGGAGCAGCGCAGCCAAGGACATGGCAGCCAGGCAGTGTAGACAAGACTCTGCCCTCACACCCCATCATGCAGTTGATGCTACAGGGCGCGGGCAGAGGGTATGGCCGCCATAGCGCTGCTGGGCTGCCTGGGCAATCTGCAGTGGGCCCTGGAGGCGGTGAGTGGTCCTGTGGGCAGGCGGGGCAGAAGATGGGGGGGCAGAGTGAGGGCGGAGCATGGGGGTGGAATGGGGGCGGGGCTAGTTTTGGGGCACTCAGTCTCTAAAAGGTTTGCCATCTCTGCCCTAGATCACCCAGCTGGCTTCGTGCTTAAAGGAGGTCTAGAACTCATAGTCTCCTGCTTCTAGCCTCTTGCCTTCAGGCTTAGACCCATTTTGATCTTCAAGATTAAAGGGATTAAAACAAAAAACCCTTCCTGTCCCATACAGGAAGTTTTAGGAAGTCCCGTCAGTCCAGCAAAAGATACAGGAAGAAAAAAAATGTCCCTTCTTCTCCCACTTTTCAAAGCAAATCCCAAACCGCATTTCCAGACTCTTTCCAGTCTGACTGCGGCTTTGTTATGGGCATTGCTATATTTTGCAATTGCTTTCCTTCTGGCAGTAGTGGCTTAAAACGCAACAGGTTTACTGATTCACTTGAAAATACTCATTTTTCAAAAGTATTACATCAACTGACAATTCTGTAAACTAGATGGTTCATTTGGTGAGATCACAACCAACCGAAAAACGTTGTTCACGGGTAAGATCCAAGGAAATCCACAGAGGGGGGATCCTTCCTCACACGTAGCTGCAATAGAATCATTGAACTCAGGCAGGTGGGGTGTAACGAGCGATATTCCACTGTAGTCCATCCCATTTATCCATATTCCAGAATCACTTTTTTCCAAGTGACCATCCAGGCTATGAAATCTTCTGTTTAAATGCTGGAAAAATGACAAGACAAGAAGCTGCTAAAGCAGTGGTTCTCAACCTTTCTAATGCCGCGACCCCATAATACAGTTCCCCATGTTGTGGTGACCCCCAACCACTTATACATCACCGGGTGCCAGGGGCGTGGCCAAAGAAAAGGGGGGGAAAATGGCGGACAGCCTTGTTTGGCGACCCCCGTGAAATGGTTGTTCGACCCCAAATGGGGTCCCGACCCACAGGTTGAGAACCACTGTGCTAAAGCTTTGCCAGCTGCCTGTGAGGCAGATACAAAATAGCTCGCTGGAGCAAGAGGTATCCTTTCTTTACGAATGTCTGAGTGACCATATGAGGGTTAAATCTGTGCTTGTTGCACTAGACATTTTTCTTTCTATACTTTTGGAAACCCACAAAGTTGATTGTGTGATAGCCAACAGCATAATAATCAGTTGTAGCAAGTGAGGAAAAAAGAATTATGTTCCCAGCTTGCACTGAAAAAGCTGACAATATTATGGAAGCAAGGAAAGATCAGAGAGGAAGGTACTGAGTGAGCGAGTAGGGTGGTTATCAGTTTAGCCAAGTTATAAGCAGTAATAGCCCACGGCTGGATATCAGTACGCCCACTCAACGTTTAAATGTACTTTTGCAGAAATGGCTGCTGATGTAATCTACTCAGAGTTGCCCTTAAATCACAAGATGGGCGGCAAATAAATACAATAATCTGGCTGACTATGCAATGAACCATAATAATCAAAATTATCTACTGACTTACCTGCCTCAGTGAAGCCAACTGACATGGCAAATCAAGTGACAGAAATCATTGCAAAAATTAGATCCCTTTTCACAGTAATAACCATTTTCACAATACAATATATTTGTCAATCTTCGATCTCCTTCTATTTTATATATATATATAAAATGTACAGAATAGTAA